GAGTGGCGTGTTTTGGGAAAACGGAGAAAAAGTGAGGGGAATAATTACAGAAGTGACGGGATTATCCGGTTTTGCGGTAGAAGTGCTAGATGTTATGAAGGAAGATCATGTGATGTGCATACCTCCAATATGATTTACTCCAGGGGAAGGAATGGTAAAATTAGGAAATTGTTTTATGCGTTTTGAGGAGTGTAGATGAATGTGTACTATGCTCATATTAATCTCCATACAAATGACTCGACCTTCACACTCCTGCAGCTTTATTCCCACCCGCTTGCTCCCATTTTGACATAGCGTCCAACGTCTTTTCTGATACTTCCTTGGCTGTTGTGTTTTTCCCGAATGCATCCACGAATTGTCCGAGGGGATCCATTAGGTAAAAGAAGATACTAGGGGTTAGTGACTTGCATCCCTCTGCTTCTACGGATGCCTTTGAGCAATACTGATGCCTCAGAGCCAGACGCGAATTACGATTCCTTCCTGGGCCAGATTGGGTGAAGTGAGAGGAGATATACGAGTCTGACAAGTAAAGAGCTTTTTGATGATTGGATGAGTGTAGGGAGCAGATGAATCCGGAAATGGAACAGAAGGGAGGAGGGAATACGAGCAAGATTCAGGACGACTGACGAATGATCCACTAAATAATCGTCACCTGGTTTAGCATCCGGTGGAGTTGAGAAATACACTCGGTAGGCTTTACAAGTCCCTTTGACAGCATCATAATCTCCTGTAAGACCTATCATCTTGGGATGGAAGTCTTTCCATCAGCACAACTGTTTTTCACTCATTACGCTGATCATCATAACAGATTGCGTCACCTTCGCCTGTTTAGTCACATTCTTCCCACATTGGACTTTGTCAGGTGCACAGCCAGTGATATCGAGGAGGCAATGCGAAGACCAAGCGGATATTGAGAAGAATGAAAATGGAGAGTAATGACTTCATGAGTCGCAGAGCAAGGAATGAGGAGGAAGAAAAGTGTAAGCTGTGACTTACCAGAGATATACGTCCGTACAGCTTCCACAGTATCCCTAGCAGGATCCACACTGATAAATACCGGTGTCACTTCTCCACCTTTCTCAGCTTTCCCAATCATATCCACAGCTTCTGACATTTTGTCCAACTCTTCAGGACATATATCAGGACAATTCGTGAATCCGAAATACATTAATGTCCATTTCCCTAGGAGATCTTTATCAGTGAATGGTTCAGAAGTATGAGTAATGAGAGAGAAAGGTCCTCCGATGGAAGGTTTTCCAATTGATTTGGAAAGTAATTCTTGTCCTATATGGTCAGCCTTCAACTTGCTTATCTCCCAACAGTCCTTCCAACTTCTTCCACTACTTTATCTATCAGGTATGTTCCAAGACGATCACATTCCGCCATCGGACCCCCGGTATGTTATATCAAGAGCTTGTAAGATTGACAATTTCCCCTCTTCACCACCTGATCCGCCAACTAGGAGCGGAACAGGATGGTACCGGGGATGAAAGCATATCAAGAGTTGACAAGGAAGTCACACACAGACTACTCACGTCGACGTTCTTGCACTTTAGCCTTTTCAGACTCAAAATACCAATACAATCCCGCGCCGGTAAGAACGAATAGAGTTGCTGCTCGCCAATTGAATGGCTCTCCATCAGCTCGTCCCAATGAATCAGGTCCCATCTAAGCAAAACTCACCCCTACGGCGGCTTTAGCTCGACGAACCTCTTCCTCCGGAGTTGAGCTGTATGGCCGGCTGGAACGGAAACGCGGGGCGGACATCATTGTCCGTGGTATATTGCTCCGTAAAAGACGAGACCGAGATGATTGAGCTAAGATAGAAGTCATGGCTTTGTACATGACCATACTTGAGGGCTGAATAGGTTTCTGCAAGCGTTGAAAGTGTTGATATTATGCTGGTTGTTATTTGCTAGTTGCTAGACGTCGCTGAGAGAACATTGCGGAGGGCGAGCTGAAGGAGGCGGCCATCGCCGCAGCAACAGGTGCTCTGAAAAGTTGGCGAGAACGAATTTTGCTATCCTTCCTTCACTAAGATCACTATAGGTCTACTGGTGTTATTTGTCCCGTTCTTGGCTATTTGGACGGTGAAGACAAGATGAGTAAACCACTCGGGACCGCTCCTGCCATGGCGGGATCTTGGTCCAAACTGTCCCTCACGCCTTGGATGTGAGTCTCCTCCCCTGTCTTGCCCCCCCCCCCCCCCCCCCCCATACATCCGACGGAAACAGGAGCAGAAAATGACGACCAGATCAGAAGCCATAGTCACGATGGGTATTGAGAATATGACACCTGTCCAAGCTTCCACCATTCCACGAGCTATCAAGAACCAAGATTGTGTGGTGGAGGTGAGCTGAATGTGCCGCTACCATTTGTCAGATGGGCTCACTACTAGGCCGTCACTGGCTCTGGCAAAACTTTGGCTTTCGTCGTACCCATATTGGAACGACTCTGTCGGGCTGAGAGAAAGTACAAAAAAGGAGAAGTAGCAGCTATAGTCATTGCTCCTACTCGGTGAGCTATGCAAGAGAGTGATACTGACTATAGCTGACCACATGAGAGAATTGGCTGTTCAAATACATTCCGTATTCCAACGTTTCCTTTCAACCGTACAACCCCCTCCACCCCCTATTGAAGACCCCACAACTTCAAGTACTATTCACTGCAATCCCACTCGCTCTGATTCCCCTTCTCCAACCTTCGAATCATTCTCTTTACCCATGCTGGTCACATCGGGAACTCAAGAGGTATACGAAACTTTCCTTTCCCTTTCCTCCAATATCATTGTTGGTACACCAGGTCGATTAGCCGCATTCCTCCTCTCTCCCCGTGGTCTGTCACAAGTCCGCGTGAATGACCTGGATGTTTTAGTTCTGGACGAAGCAGACCGTCTTCTATCCTCACCAGATCATAGAAGAGACGTCGAAAGAATTATGGGACATTTACCTAAACAACGTCGGACTCATCTTTTCTCAGCTACAATGACGGATGCCGTGGAGGAGTTGATAGGGATTGGATTGAGGAATCCTGTGAGGATCGTGGTGAATTTAAGAGATAAGCGAGATGGTGAAGGGCAAGAGAGGAGATTACCTGCGAGGTTGGAAAACAAGTATCTTGTGTGTGGTCCGGGGGAGAAGACTTTACAATTTTTCAGATTATTGAAGAAAGAGGCTAGAGAAGGAGGAGCAAAATTTATCGTTTACTTCTCAACATGTGCAGCGGTGGATTATTTCTATAGAGTATGTCCCTTCTCCTTCTTCATTACCTACTCTCCGTCCCCCTTTCCCCTCCGCTACTCATCCATCATCCCCAGCTTCTGTACAAGCAGATACGCAAAAGGTCACAGAATGGAGCTGATACTTTTAGATACTCACCAAACTAAACACTTTGCACACTTTTCATTTCACCTCACTTCACGGTGACCTACCTCCCTGGATCCGAACCACAGCACTAAACGACTTTACCTCACATGCTTCTACCCACCTCTCACCCGCTGTGCTCTTATGTACAGACGTCGCTGCCCGAGGAGTCGATTTTGAAGATACAGACGTTGTCATACAATACGATCCGCCCACCGATCCAAAGGCTTTTTCTCATCGTGCTGGACGTACGGCTCGGGCAGGTAGAGCAGGTAGAGCATTTGTTTTGTTGACCAATGGGAGAGAAGAAGATTATGTGGATTTCATGTCTGTGAGGAAGATGCCCCTTACGAAGCAGATGTATCTTTCTGAGGAACTGGAAGAGGTGACGTCACATCCTGGACTTGATATTGGAGCAAGGGAGCTGTTGGATGAAATCCGAGGTGTGGTGAAAACGGATCGAGAGCTAGCCGACAGGGTAAGTACACTACCTATCAGACCCTCTCAATCACTCTTCTCCCTTCTGCCTCGACTCAGATGACTCTGTGTGTCTAGCTTCCGTGCTCGTTGCCGTTAGTGGAAGGTTTGGGACGAGAGTACCCAGTTGAGAGCTGACGAAAAGGGAGCAAAAGCATATGTCTCGTCTTTGAGAGCTTACACGAAACACGAAGCTTCTTTCATCTTCAGACTTTCCGATATGGATTTTCACGGAATGGCAATGTCGTACGGTCTACTTCGACTTCCTGCTATGCCAGAGATCAACGAGTGGCGTAAAAGGCGAAGTGCAGTTGTCTCAAACCCAGCCAAGACTCTACCTGTTTCAGAAGGAGATACCGAGGTGGAAGAAAAAGGAGATTTCATCACACCTTGGGAAGATGCTGATATTGATGTGAGTGTTTCTTCGTTTCCAACGCATCCTCATGTCATGTCACAGCATTAGGCAGGTGGTGAGATGATGAGATAACATCACACGGGAAGGTAATGAGTAAATATCCTCGAGTTTGTCTCGAGTGGAGAGTGTAGAGTGGAGAAAGGTATATTAGGGAAGAGTTGGGTGACCAGTAACATAGAGGAGACATTAGGAAACGACTTATATCAGTGGGATAATTTCTCTTATTCTTCAAAAGATCGTGAAAACGCCCGTCTGGTCGCTTTGGAAAAGAAACGTCTTCTCCCACCTCCCAACGAAGGAGATAAGAAGAAACGCAAGATTCAAGAAAAGATGCGTGAATCTTGGTCTGTACAAAAAGATAAAAAATCCAGAAAAGAAGATCGAAGAATCAAAAGAGATGTGAAGAAACAACGTGAACATGAAGAACGTTTAGCTCGAGGGGAAGTTGATGAAGATAAAAGTTTAGTACGTGCATTCGAAGCTCGTGTGAAGAAAGATAGAGAAGAAGAGGATTCAGAGTATAGGTTATTGAAGAAAGAGATACAAGGTGAGAAAGTTGGTAAGAAAAGAAGTGTGAAAGTTGAAGGTATGTTTGGAGATCTTGATTGATCAAAACCATTTCATCCGGGATTTTTCCATCTATCTGTTTCACGAGAAAATGTTTGCAGGAAAATAATACAAGTAATCATGTTGTACAACTTCATAAACACATTGAACTGAAATGATGATATATACCGTCCTCGTATACGATTATCAACTCCAAGGATTATCTTCGTCATATTCGTGTGGAGTATATAACGGAGTTTGAGCTTCTAAAACCCTCTGTTCGATATTCTCCATCACTTCCACTGGATCTACCCTATCTTCAGGAGCTACAACTTCACTTCTTCTTGTACCTTCGTCAATATCTGGTGTAAACACTTCTTCTACCTCTTGATGTCTAGGTGAAGCTTTTTTTCCTGAGGAATCTCTTTCATGTCGGAATATCCTAGTGGGAGCATTACTTTGAGGTTCACCTTTTCTTCTTTCCCTCTCTCTAGCATCTTCAACAGCTTTAGAATCTTCCACTACTAGATCTACGGCGTCTTTAGGTAATTCTTTTGACTTTCCTTTTGATTTTCCTATAGGTTTAAGTGTTCGAGTCTGCGTAGGAGTAATCTCATCATCTTCATCAGATCCGATAGAAAAGGGAGATTTAGGACGTGAAGGTCTTCGAGCTACTTCAGGTTTAGAAGTCGTCTTTCCATTGGTCACAATTGTTTTTGTGGTAGAAGCTTTAGAAGGTTTCGGTTTCTTCGTCCATCTCATTTGAGCATCACCGATAGAATTTGAACGCCAAGCATCCGGTCTTTCTATATCACCGTCATACAACCATTCTCCATCTCCATTAGGTTCCCTATCTCTAGATGGACCACCAACATTCCGACCCGATCTTAGAGAGCTAGTAGGACTCATTCCTCCTTTAGAAAAAGAAGAAACTCTATCCGCCCCTGTACATCAGCCAGATCCACCCATTTAACCTTAAGTCATGGATCAACTCACATCCCCCATAAACACCCGTATCACCTTTTGGTCTTTTTCTCTTTGGTACCGCCCTCCCATCACTTGACCCACCTTTTGTCCATTTTCCCCTCAAGATACCCTCTTCTTCTTGTCGTAATTGACGTTGTTTCTCTTCTTTGCTCACGTCGACATTTGGAAACCCTGCATATCCTATCCTTCTCGCTCGCTCGTACATCTCATCCTCGATTTCGCTCACAGAATCAAACTCAAGACTTGGAGCATCACTCTCAGAATCACTGCTGAACAATCCGGCAGAACCTAGTTCATGTCCCCGAGGAAGAGAAGGGTCATCACGAACGACATCGTGAGCTTGTTTCGGTAATAACGGAGCATAACCTTCTCTCTCCGCGAGTCGTTCATCGATACGTCGTTTGACACGAGCAAGTGGACCTGGATCTCCCCTCATCCGAGCCTCATCGCCAGAAACAGGTACCCAGTATTTGGTAGTCCCACCTTTGGCATAACGTAACCCGGCACGCATTCGTTTCTGTCGACCGAGACCGTAGTGTAGACCGCCCTCGGCTGGCTCATATGCTTGGTAGGAAACACCACGGCCACGGATGGTATGTTTTGTATCTTCCCATACGTCCTTGAGACCGAAAGCGTCACGGAAGGCGTATATGAAGGGGAGGCGAGCCTGAAATATCATCAGGACGAGAGCTTCATGTCAAACCTACTTGACTCACAGCATGTTTTAGATTGGGATCGATGTAGTCACTAGCTTGGAAAGCATATTGCTGTCCATCAGTTGTGGTCTCTCGATCCAGCACCATTGCTCACATGTGCAATAGCAAAAATTGGCATTTCGAAACATATGAGTGAGTCGACCAGAGCCAGCGACATATGCTCGGCATCGGTATATGGGCCGACTGACAGTCAACTGAGGGTTTTCTCCACGTGAGGAGGACGTACCCTTTTTGACGGCCCCTGAAGAGGTGAGGATGGAAATGAGGACGCTTTGCCAGAAAGAGAAGAACAAGATGCCCTTGACACAGAGGAATTTGGCTGATATTCAGCATCTTCCCAAATGAAATGGGTGTAAGCGTAGTGAGGACAACTTACGGACAGGTCGAAAAGGTTTGAGATCTTCATTCACACATACCCAGAACATGGCCAAGCAGCTGTAAATGAGCCAAGTAAAGCGAAACAAATTTTTGTGACGTACTAAAGACTCAAACAAATACTAAGATTATAAACGATAGACACGTAGGTGTACCCAGAGCTGGCAGCGAATTTACCCTCGCGATATGTTCCGGTAGCCTTGAGGATGGCTGTGGCGATGACCAGGAGTGGTTTTACCTGAACGTATTCTGCAGAATTAATCTCCTGTGCTTCTCCAGACCAGAATTGATCCAGCCCAGAAAGGGGTCAAGATATTCTATCCCCGCAGTGACTCATTTGAAGCTGTTGAAGTAGACGAAGAGATGACAAAAGGGATTGGGTACTCACGTAAAACTCCACGCTTCAAATTGAGTAATGTCCATGGATCACTCACGTCCATCGGTCGGAGGAAAAGATTTACAGGGAATGGATGTGGGATAGGTTGACGACCATGTAAGATGATGAGGAGAGATCTTTCGCCTCCAAGATAGGTGATGAGAAGTTGGAAAAAAGTGTAGATTACGAAAGCCTAGACATAAGCATAACAATGACATAGACCTTCATGTCCCAAATTCTATCACTTTGCTAACCCCTGATATCCTGGGAATAGCAAGTGTATGTCTGCTCAGGCAGGACAACCAGCTCAGAGTACCAGAGTGGGTATGTAATGAAGTGGTCCTATGGGAAAGCGGCGTACTTCGTACAAATCTCGAATGGCATCGATGAAGAACGCAGCTTCAAGAGAGAAGATTGCGATAAGTGAAGAAATGGCGTATAACGGTACCCTGTGTATCAGCTTGAACAGATGTTTAAGGTTGGCCTCTTCATACACAAAAGAATCGATATGTATATCACATATCACACGCAAATATCGATAGGCGTGAGACATATATGACATATACCCAACCACAAGCTCCGAGCAAGAAATGGATGTCCGTCCGAGGTCAAGTAATGAGGGAAAGATCTGAAGTGTCGAGTTGCGACCTGGGAGATTTAATGCAATGAGTGACTCATGAGTGAAGAGCGGGGAGATGATTCACATACATGAGCATGATCCGTACCACCGCTCTCTGTAAAGGAGGTTTCCTATAATTCTTCAATTGCAAAGTTATAGACATCACCGATACTCCAGTGGCTGGTTCGTCAGTTGTTAGCTTATGATCCGATAAGAAGGACTTACCGACAGCGGTAAAGGTTCCACAGAGTACTAGAAGCCATACGGGTAGATGGTTCCCAGCTCCACTGGACGGGACGGTGACGAGGATGGGAGATGAGGAAGGGTTTGGGGAAGGGAAGGAAGGTAGTGACATGGTGGTGTTTCTCCTTGGCGGAGCTGCCTCGACGTCGAGTCTGAGCGGTATTTGGTGCGTAAAGTTGACCTCGGGGGGTAATGTTGGCAGTAAGAGGAGAGTAAAGATTGCCTCCCCCTGTTGAACCGAAGAGGGAGGAGGTGTACTATGAGGAAAGGAAAGAAGACAGCTGCGAGATTGTTCACTATTTTGAGTGGCGAGTGAACGCAGAATGCAGCACGACACCACGCGGAGGTACAGGTAGGCACTTCCTCGTCATTCCCACTTAGAGTCACTCCAAGGTGGAGATACTGAGAGTGTGGGACAGGAGCACAGCAAGCATGGCCAATGAATGCATAACAAGATCATGAATACCACATCTTACGTGCTACAACAACCACAGAGCCCAGATAGGATGCGCAACAAGGTCAAGCGGGTATTGACGGTTGTCGTCTTTCATCACTTTCCACAGTGGAAGAATCGTCAGGAAAATCGATTGTTGGTGAAGTCGGCGTCACGTCGTGGAGCTCATCAATCTGAGTCTGAGGATCAGGCGCTTTTTGTCTTTCTTGTCTTGAAGCAGTACTATCTTCCTCCCTGGATATACTCGACGTTGGTGAAGACTGCAAAGGAGCCTGTTCCATCTGTGAGATCGATCCTGCTTCTTGATCCTCCTCCTCCTCCTCTTTGTTGGCCAATGAGCTTGCTTGCTCATCAATCACACTTAATTCTCTCCTTGCCCTATCCCCACCTTGTCGGTCCCCCCATCCGTTCTCTCCCATGGCGGAAATCACTGTTGTCTGAGCTTTTGAAGGTGACATGACGGCGGAAGGGAATGGGACATTTTTAGGTGGCGAGGTCTTTCCTGGTGTAGAAGTACCGGAAGAAGGCAATGTTCTAGTGAGATTGGGATTGGGGGATTGGGGTACGCTAGAATCCAAGAGTCCAAGTCTACATGCTCATCAGTCGGAGTTGTTGAGACAAAGAGGAAGACTTACGGAGCTAGAACGCTAAAGATCTGACCATCTTCTTTAGGTGGACCGTACGTATCGAATGGATCGGGTATGGACATGACCAGAGGTTCTAATATAGGATCACTAGCTTTGCCCGATAATTTATCGTAAAAGTCGAGTTGACTCCGGACCACGAATGCTACTTTGTGCAAGACTGTATCCCAAATCTGGTTATCAGCGATGATCTTCAACCCTTCCAATTGATTCAAGTTGGCCCAGGAGGCAGCAAAGTGAGTGTGAAAAAGTAGCAGAGTGGCAACTTTACTCAAGGAGACATAGATATGACCTTGACTCACCTCATCCTCGCCCTCCAAAACCTCCTCATGATACCCCGCCTTGAGTGCATCCAACTCATCCACCTGGCTTTGTAACTCCGCCAAAGCCAATCGAAAACTTTGTAAATCTCTCTTCCGTCTTCTACCAACTTTTAAATTCTCCGCCTCCGTCTTCCGTATTTTTGTTGATTGTTCATGTAAAGCCTTCTCATACGAAGCCAATCGATCGGCAGTGATGAGTTTGTAATGATCCAAAGCTTCCAAAAGGGGTATTTCAAATTGTCGATAGACAGTATCTGCAAGTATTTGTTCATGATTCCCAGTAAGATATTGTAAACCTGAAGCTCCGGCAAGTCCCGAATTAGCATTTCTACAACCTTTTAGTCTGATTATCAGTAAAAGATCCTCCCAACTCCAAATTAAGTGTGATCATGATCTGAGAAGAAGAGGAAGAGGAAGGGAAATTCACCTGGAACAAGCTTCCATGGCAGAGGCGAAAGCTGCTGTGGCATGTGACATGGCTAATAGAGCGTTTCGATAAGCTTTAGCAGCTGCCATAAGGTCTTCGAAACATGATATAGATTGTCGGAGATCTTTACGTGTGATGAGGGAATGAGCAGCTGGCATGTTGACTCTTGAACCTGTCGTGGTGGTAGAGTACTTGACATGAGCTTTTGATTCCTCTCACCCCTTTCTGATCATTTTTGAACCATATCTGAATGACCAGAGTAAATCGATGGTGTGTGAATATGACGACACGCTGGAGGAGTGAAACATGATTGGAAAGTAGTAAGCAAATATGACGAACAAAAACTCACACTGGGTGAAGGGGGTCGTATTCCCCAAGCAGAAGGAGCTAAACTACCTTCACTTTGCAAACTTGTTAACCTAGGTCTAGGAGTAGTCGACATCCTTCCTTCCTTCCTTGTCAACTTTCTGTTGTTCCCAGCGTGTATAGTCTTATGATCGTGAATGGTAAGAAACAAAGGATGGGCTGGATTGTTGACCCGGTTGCTCCGAGCTGAAACCTTGATTGGGAAGATAGTGATAAGGTCACGTGAAGAATACAGAATAGAAATTATGACGTGTGAGTTTCTCTCCCGCCTCTCCCCCCTTTCTTTCGATCGAAACTTTTTCTCTTTCTTCAGTGAACCGGGGTGAGTGATCTTTCCATTTGACAACATCTAGCACCTCCTTCGTCTCCTATCATAGCACTTTCCAATCCGAAAGCTTGGTATTCGACTTTAATTCACAATGATCTAGACTGGCTTGATGGGAAAAAGTTACCATGAGAAAGAACTGACTCCCAGGGACATAAAAGTTCGATTCTCCCCTCTACGCCATGAGGAGTCTCGCGTTCCCGTCCCCCATATTGACCGTCTTCACGGCGATAACCAAGCTGTTCGTACTTCCCTTTTGACCCTTTTTCAATTTTGAGGATAAGCGTCTGACATTCGTGAGAGTGTATGTGATGCGATGAGACTTATTGAAGGAATGGTCGGGAGGTATTTGGAGACGTACATTTTTCTGTGATCTCACCTCAATTATCGATTGTGCTTTCCTTTTCATCTTGTACGAAGGTTCTGTGTGACTTGTCATGACGAGATGCATTTCTTCAAGCGGGTATTCTATGAAGGGTATACGAGCGATCCATTTCTTCATCTCTAACAATTGCCCCTCGCAACATCCAATGGAAGTGAGAGTAAATTCCTAGTAAACACCAGGAATAAACTTCCACTTGACCACCTGGCAATACTTCTCCCAATCTTCTCCATACTTCCTAGCGCATTTCTCAAAGTCCCTCTGACATCGATGTGTCAACACTGCCAAGAAGAACACGGGATAAAACCAAGTGATGGGAGTCATGAAACCCCCGCTTATTGCCCACATGCAACTCTGTACCCAATCGGCCGTATAGTTGATCTTCCTTGCATAAGCCCACCAACCTGAAGTGAGAAGTTTGTTCCCATGAGCCGTCTGAATGTACGTGGGGTTCTCTACGACAGACCAGGGAACGACGGGGAATGCGTACCGACGATGATAGTCGCCTTGCTGTTGCATTTTGAAGTTGGATTTTTGAGCCATGCATGAGTCGAAGATGTAGTAAGCGGTGAAGAGGGTGATGAAACATATAACGGCCAAGGGACGGGAAAGCTCGTAAGATTCCATGGAAGGTGCGCGAACCAGGGCGATGACGGGGTAGCAATAGGTGAAAGGGCTAAATATCAGTCTCCTCGAATATGACGGCGACAGGTTGTTCCACTCTATAGCGAGAGGGATACGTTAGGTAGATTACACGAAAGGAAACGTGGGAGTGGCGTAGCGCAGGGTAGATTGACGAGAAGTAGAGGCAGAGAACAAGACGAGACGAGACGAAGATAACGAGGGGAAAGAGATTTTAACTCACACCCCCGCCATATTCCAAAAAATTAACATCCATCCGAATTTCTCATGAAACATATCCCAAGTCTGAGGAATCATATGTTCCGCTTTTGCACAAGCATTGATATACAATCCCGATCCTGTCAAAAACAACAACATATTCGGTGTGACTCTTCCCAATTCCTCATATTGCTTTACCGTCCCACTCAAAGCGATGAGGAATAATAAAACCCATGGAACTCTGACTTCGGCAAACATTTTAAGATCCACCGGTCCTAATCTCGGATTCAACGAAACACCCATAAAATGATCATAAACCCATACTCCTGACATACGTAATGGTTTCCCTCCCCAATGTAACGTCCTAGCGAAAATGTCCATGAATCCGGAACAAATATAAGAAGTGAGGACGGCGACCGTCATTAGATGACCGAAATTTTCTACTATCCAAGGAAGACGAAAGAAACCGGTGGTATGGAATACGTAGGCGAGTATTAAGGTGGTATACCATGACCAACATGCGTTACAGAGATAAGGTAAGACGGCATAGTTGAGTGAAGGTACTGGAAGACCGTTTTGCATGACACCGGGCATGATAGCGGCTAGGAAAAGTTGAATGACGGTAAGACCGAGATATGTTGCCCAAGCGAATTTTGTTGGATATGCACCCTGATCATATCAGCCGATACACATACCTCTTCTCTGAAGATATGGAGTCGGAGAGCAGCTGACCTCGTAAATGTGTTGTCCCATTCGTTGAAAGAAAGGTCGGATATCATCGAAAGAAGTAGGATGAACAAATTTGCCGTTGTAGTACCATAAACATATCCAGAGATAATCTGTTAGTCAGCTCATATCATCTTTTTAAGGGTCGACGAGCTCACACATCAGAACGGGGAACAAAAGCATCATAGCTGTCACACCGACCGGACCTCCAAATTCAAACCTGACATTAGTTGATGTCAAAGCAAGCATTCTTCGTCTCCTTATAGTACATTCTACTCAGGTACTCTCTTTCAAGTACGTGAAGCAGGTGAAGAAAAAGAGGTTTTAACTTACGTCTCATGTTGATCTAATTTCTTATCCATCTCTTTCCCATGCTCAGTAGGTACAGCGTTCACTTTGAGCAAAGCGGTGGAATGTCCATTCGAAATTTGTTCCGACTTAAGCTCAGATTTTGATTTTCGTTTTCTCGTCTTCCCAGCAGGACCATCCATTATAATTGCCATTGTATCGTCTGTTCTTCTGTTCGTGTATGTATTCTTCTTATATACCTTGTCCTCTCCACTCCTGTTCTCCCTTACTAAAAAATAAGAAAATTAGAGAAAGAAAGTGGTACGATAAAAACGCACGCGTCAAAAGTCAGAACTATCTGCTGACGTAAACAATCGGCAACTGACTTTCCGATTTAGCGGAACCGGGGCGCGGGGGACCGTCCATCAGCCCCCAACTAGAGTAGCTTTTCTGACAGTAAGTCAGTAGTAGTGGTGAACTTGACCATCATAGCACACAAAAATCAACAATATGCAAAGGGCAAATATCAGATTTCTCAGTCAGAGCGTTATACGACTCTCCAATCCTTCTCGTCAAACTCCGAAATTGGAGCCGACTACATTTAGTGAGAAAGCATCACCTCGTCAAGTTCACGAACGTCCGGAAAACCTTAGAGGTTTACCTTCTTCTTCCCCTCCTCAATTCTGGACCAAACCGGGTCAAACAACCAAAATCAATGATGCTAAACCGGGGAGTATGACAGGGGAAGAATTTGGAGGTCCAAGTAGACCCAGAATGGTGTATGATCGTCCGAAGGATCTACCAAAATTACGGGTGAGTTGATCTTGTTCATACTAGAAGATCACTAAGTGAGAAGTCACGTTGGCCAATGTGTGAGTTACAAGAACCTTCTCGAAATCACATATGTAATTATTTGGAAAGACTGGAAGACTGACATGATAGATGCAGGCGTTGGAGCTTTGTGTCTCAGCGCTTGCGTGGGATTCGTCCTGTGGGCGACTAACACTGGTGAAAAACCTTGAGATATAGTGGGAGCAGTTGTTAATGGGTAGAACGATTAGCTTCGTCTGTCTTGAGACAGGTGACTTTTCAACTACGAAACTCGGCTCAAGTCGCTTCTGTCTTAGGTGAAAATGTAAGATTGGCGGATAACTGGTGGGGTGAGTGCATGAATTCTACTTTTACGCAGCTGACAAGAAGGTTTTGGAGATCCTTGGATTTCCGGAAGTGTGAGTGACCTGTTCAAAGACGGATTGTGAGAGGAGACAAGGCTGACGGTAGATTAACAACATGCAAGGTCATGTTGATCTTAGTTTTCGAGTACGGGGATCACATGGTACGTTTAGTCATGTCTGAAATTTTTGGCTAAGTGATAGGTGCGGGTACTGTCTACTTCACTTCTATAAGACCAAAGCAAGAGGGTGCTTGGAGAATAGGTGAGCCTTGTAATGGTTTCATGGTCACACACAAGCTCACACTGTAGTGAGATATAAAATCATCACTGATGATGGTCAGACAATCCGATTGGACGAACAGTTGGGAGCATGAGAGTCATTGAAATCGCGTGAACATGGGTATTTTATCCGAGTAAGGAAGTATCATAATGCAATAATGCCATCATGCTATCATGAAAAGAAAAGTGACAAGGACTGATTACTCTTTGACCTTTCCCCATACTCCGATATTCCCCGCCAAGACATCAACATCAGAAATCTTATCTAATCTGACCATTTCCCGACGTATAAACTTTACCACCAATTCGATTTGCTCTGGTAACAATAGCTCTAATCTTGCCTCTACTGGATTCTTCTCCACCTCCGTCAATGCTCCATCAGGAGCTGACATACCTCTTGACTGAAACAAATTCCTCCATACCCATCCTGCAAGTTCCAAATCAGCTTTGGATCGAAGTTCAACAGAATCACTCTGTCCCAATCCGAGAATATAATCCACAGCGAGACCTGAACCTCTCCATTGTTCTCCAAACTCCATCAGATACTTACGTACCACCCTCTCACGTTCTCCCCTTCCGAGGACCTGACGCATTTCCGATTCGGCCATTTCGAAAAAGTGATTGAGCAGTTCGAGGGGGTAGGCTTCGTAGTTGGGTTTGGAAAGACTGATCCCACTTGGATCTTCTGACGAGGATGTATTGGTATTTGAGGGTGAGGAAGGTGATAGTGGTTCGGGTATAGTAGTTTTGGGAGGAGCCTGATGAGCTGGAAGAGCTCTGAGACGGGGGAGTAGGATGAGTAAGTAAAGAAGATGAATTTGGAAAAAAGTTTGAAAAGTCGGTGGGAGTTTGCATTCTTATTCTGTCAGCTCTAATCTCACGGAATTAAGCTCTCCTGCAGAAAGGCAGAACGTAATGAGAGTGAAAGGGAAAGGGGAAACTGATGGAAAATAAAAGAGAAACACACCATCATAGAAGAAAGCTCGATCGGCCTGAGCACTGTCGACTATACCTTTCATCATCCGTCCAGTCTCACGAATAGCAGTACTAGCTCTGGAATTATACCCGAACAACTTGGCTACTCCCATTACGAGCTTTTTTGTGCTTTCAGAATATGTTTTCGGTTGTTGATTTTCTTGTTGTTGTTTTTGAGCGTCGAATGGATCTGCAGGGGCGGGGAAGGTGGGAGGGTTTTTGACTACATACGGTGCGGAAGAGACTGTTTTAGAGGGAGCACCACCATCGCCAGATAGAGGTTCTCCGGTTGTAGGAGGGGTGGTTGGAGAGACAAAGAAACGAGATCGAGGGACAAGTGTTACATATCGTGGTGTTCTGAGAGAGAAGAGGGCGCGACGGGGTATTGACATTATGTATAGAAGAGGATACGATATGATAAGTTGTTCGATTCAAAACTTGGAGTAAGATGGGCGAAAATCGGGAATGGGTGAACGGAGTTCGGAAAACATCTCCGCTTTCCTATGATGAAAAGTGGTCCTGAAATTTCTGCGTCTGTCCATCTTCGACAACACACTACGAATAGAGTGGTATTGCAAGTCGCACAAGCATCATGGTGAGTTGAACAACATACTCTGAAGCTATGCGTACTGAATCTATTTAGCCTACTAAACGCACCAAGGCATCCTCTTCAGGGTTGGGAAAGGCCATTATCAATCGTCGAGCAAAGGAAGCACATACCAAGCCTGACACTACCCAACTGGTCAGTCTTTCTTCTCCCTAACATCGCTATATCTCTCTGAAGCTTGGTTCCGGATAAGATATATATCTGATATTGTAGTACACACTCGACGAATCAAATCCATTACAGTCGATCACTCAAGAACGAGACTTAGACGAGTTCTTAGCCAATGCAGCATTGGCCGATGCGGATTTTACGACAGGTCAGCTGGAACGCCATGTGGGTGGTATGAGCTGATCAGTTAGAACGTTCAAAATTACGAATAGTCAGTACTCCAGGTCAAACAGCTAAAAACCCCTTTCTTCTCAGTAAGGAAGAAGAACATGAAGTGGAACGTAAGAAATCTGATCTCCGACATGATCTCCGTGTGCCTAGGCGGTATGTTACAGAAACCTTTGATGATTCTTCACTATTTTGACTGATGTTAGACCTCCATGGACGAGAAGAACGACCAGACAAGAGCTAGAGAGACAAGAACGGGACTCCTTTCTCGATTGGCGACGTGATCTAGCACAGTATGTCTATCTTGTTCTACTGTAGACTGCAAGGGAGTTTTCGCTGATGAAGAGCTTGGCAGAAGGTAGTAATTTGCTTTTGACACCTTTTGAGAGAAATCTTCAATTATGGAGACAACTCTGGCGTGTATTGGAACGTTCTCACCTCATCGTCCAAATTGTAGACGCTCGAAATCCTCTGGGGTTCAGATGTGTTGATTTGGAGAGTTACGTGAAGGAAATAGGTGATGATGGTGAAGACGCTGCTGTGCCTGGAAAAGGAAAAAGAACCAGTTTGTTATTGGTCAACAAAGCTGATTTGCTTACTTTGGATCAGAGGTGGGCAAATCTTCTTGATGGTTCGGGGGATGACTAATGGTGTAGAGAGGCTTGGGCGACTTATTTTGAGAAGGAAGGAATAAGATACGCCTTCTTCTCTGCTTCCAATGCTGCTGCCGCACAAGAACAAGCCGATAAAATACGGGCTAGAGAGGAGATGGATGAATCGACCGAGGGTGAGATTGAGGAGGAAGATGAGGAGGAGGGAGAAGGCGAGGAATGGCAAGATACTTCGAAATTTGAAGAAGGGTCGGACGTAGAGGCTGACACAGAGTTGCCTTCGGCTATGGAGAACGCTTCCTTGGACGAAGAAGAGGAGGAGGAGGAGGACTGGGCGACAGAGGATGAAGATGATCTTGAAGATGACAATCCTGTCGAGAAGAGGTTGTCAAATGGCGAACATGTACCTCTGGCTGAGGTAGCCAAGGAAGTCAAGGCCAAGGCTGAAGAGGTGGAGACTTCACGAACCAGAGTTCTATCCGTGACGGAATTAGAGGATCTCTTCCAAAGTGCTGCACCACCACTTTCCGGTATGACACTCTTCATCTCTCATTCATCTCCTCGGACATCACTCTTCATCTGGAAGAGACAGTTGCACAATATTCACAGTGTCAAGCTGACCATATAGACTTTGCCACATCCCGCGATCCCACTCCCCAGACTTTGATGGTGGGTTTAGTAGGATACCCCAACGTGGGAAAATCATCCACTATCAACGCTTTACTAGGAGCGAAAAAAGTTTCCGTCTCTTCCACTCCGGGCAAAACTAAACATTTCCAAACTCTTCTCCTCACATCTCATATTACACTGTGTGACTGTCCAGGTCTCGTGTTCCCTCAATTCGCAAATACTCAAGCGGACATGATCGTCGATGGGATATTACCTATCGATCAGATGAGGGAATATTCCGCTCCCACGGATTTGGTCTGTCGTCGGATCCCTCAGGAGATTCTGGAAGGGACTTATGGAATAAGGATTGATGTGAAGGGTGTTGATGAGGGTGGCAGTGGACATGTGGGATGGGAAGAACTTTTGTCAACTTATGCTAGTGAGTCCTACCTCGCCTTTCCACACACAAAGTGCTTCCTCAAAAATCTTCCCCACGCTCTCTGAATCCACATGGCAATGAGTCATCGTATGTAGTCGGGATCAGGTAGAGAGCATTTGGAGGGATGACGAGAAAGATGGAGGAAGAGGATCAAGATGACTAACTTGTAGTTGCAAGAGGTATGACTCGAGCTTCTTTCGGTATGCCCGATACTTCTCGTGCTGCCCGTGTTATCCTCAAAGATTATGTCAACGCCAAAGTTCTTTACGCTCATCCTCCTCCCGGTATAGAGTCAGATGACTTTATGCGTATATCTCGTCAACAGACTTTGACCAATTTAAACAAAGGATTTGAAGAAGGTCGTAAACGTGCTCCTGTGACTCATGTCTCCAAAAACGCAGATACTTTCATCCCCTCTTCTTCTTCCCTCTCTCTCGACACAATTCCCACACTTACCGTCGGAACCTCAAATGATGGCGTAGGATCATCTCAAAGACAATATACTTCCCAACAAATCCGAGCTAATGCAGCTTCCGCACCTATGCGTCCTGGAAGAGAGAAAGCTCAAGCGTTGGACGGTGTATTCTTCAATGAAGCAGGTCCATCACCAAGAGCTGTGATGGTAGGTCATCAGCAAGAAAAAGGTGGGCAGGGTTATGTTAGAAATACTATGTATCCACATCAACGAATGTTAGGACCGGATGGAATGCCTTTGGTTCAATCGGGATCAAGTGGGATGAGTGGGGGTAAGATGGATAAGAAACATTTTAAAGGAAGAGAAGGGAAAAAGAGGTCTGGAAGGGGATATGATTGATTTGTTCTTGTATAGTAAGACATCATTTCATCTACATTATTGCATCAATGCATCAAATACCAATCTTACTAATTCCAATTCTGTTGCCAATACAGTGTAAAGCGAAATGTAGATTTGTAGGGACAACTGAGAGCATACAAGTACGAAAGATACATATCATGATAATGCTAAAGCTTGTGATTGATCTTGTCCTATTCTAGCTTTATGTATTTTAATATCTTCCAACGGTCTATCATCTTTATCCGTACGTACCGCTTCTAATCTTTGAACGGTTTTCATCCCTGAACTTACACGACCGAAGATGGTATGTTTCCCATCGAGAAAAGGAGTAGGAGCGAGGGTAATGAAGAATTGAGAACCTGTGTGTTACTTCGGGAATACTTTCTTCTGAGGTGTACCAGTACAGTCTCCCAAAGGAGATTCAAGTCATGACATGTGATCGATGAGTTTATGACGATAAGTGACGAAAAGCTTAAAACTCAAGGTGAAGAGAGAGTGAAAGATACTGAAACTTCAGGATAGGTGGAAACAACTCTCGCCCGGATTGGGTGAGCGAGGGAATGGAAGCGAAGAGCGATGTGAGATATAGGTGGATGACAAGAAAGAAGTCAAGGAGATAGAAGAGGTAAGGAAAGAAAGAGGGGAAGAGGGGAAAGTCAATGAGAATGATGATGTGTGAAGAGTAAATGGAAATGTAACTCACCATTAGTATTCGGACCAGAATTAGCCATGGCTAATATCCCAGCTCCTACAAACCTCAAATCCGGTGAAATCTCATCTTCAAACTTATTCCCAAATATCGAAGTTCCACCTCTACCCGTACCGGTAGGATCACCACCTTGTATCATGAATCCCTATATATCAGTTCTTTTTGCTTTTTTTCTCTTCATACATATTCGAATCTTCTTCCTTTCCCTTGATTTCTTCACTAACCCGACTTAGCTTCTCAATATCTCATCTATGTTCGAATCTTCCTTGTTCTTGATTTGTCACTCTCCCAACTCATCGTATCTACACTTGTTTGCCCCTGCGGCTCATCTTCTATACTTCTTCACCCTCCCAACTCATCTTCTCAACGTGTATCGAGCACGTTCAGACAGAAATGAGGATTTCTCGGAAGAAGAAAACAAATAATCTGGATTTTGTCTCTTCACACGATAGGTATGCAGGATCATCGTGGGAGACGTAAAGAGTATGAGGGAGGAAGGGAATGATGTGGAGAGAAAGAGTTTTTACTCACAGGTATTATACGATGAAATATCACACCGTTATAATAACCCCTCTTGGCTAAAGTCGCAAAGTTTTGACATGTCTGTTTGTTAGTCCTGACACCATCTACATCTCCGTGACCGCGTCGACAACCACCATAACCATGCGATATAAGGGTGAGGACGATCGTAGGGGATATCACTCACCTTTGGTGCATGGTTGGTATATAATTCCAATGTCAGAGATCCTACAGAAGTCTCCAAAGTGACATATTGATCCATGTTGCAGTGTCACAGTCGTTACCTTAGATGTTCAATTGACTTTTCTTTTGAGATCATGCTACATGCCGCAACGGACTTTGTAAGTGGTGAACAGGCGCGCGGAAGGATCGCTCAAGGAGAGGCCGAGAGAATAGGCTTGCCACACATCTGACACGACGATATGAGTGGTTGTTCGTCTTCCTTCCCCTTTGAATGAACCATTGACGACAATGACGACCTCTCTCTATGTCCCCTTGGCTTATATAACGGTTTTGGTCACTGGACTAGCTATCTTCTCCAGGGTATATAGAAGACGACGTGCTGGTGAGTTTCGTATCTTCTCTTCATTACTTCCTGGACATTCCCCCTTTCTACTCCGTGCTCCTCGCTGCCTCTGCCTATCCTTCTCACCTTGTCCGACCAATGTCATCACTCCTACTCTGGTAACGTACCTACTTCCCACCTATATCTTATCCCAGAGATAATCATGTTTGATCCCTGATCCCTGGCTATCTTCTCCGTCTCTTATCGACCGGGAATGACGATTTCACTGTGAAGAAATCTACTAAACTTCCCAGAACGTAAAACATCATTCGAATCATGGTTCCCACGTCATCATACTCGAGATACATACATATCCCTATTATCATCATCTTCTCCAGTCCCAGATTCTTTAATCAAATCATCTCTACTCGTACGAGCCACAACGGATGTTCAACGTATTTGGAGAATGAGAGATGATAAACCTGCTATCACTTCTTTACATCAAAGAGGTTTGATAGGTGATGATACCGTATCTAGGTTTAATCAAGCGGAAAAAGAATTAGAAGCGGAGATTGTCGATGTAGTACAAGAAGCCAATACTTTTAGACAAGGTTGGGGTGGAATGATCTTCGCTACTGCTACAGAGATGGCATTGGCGGAAAAAACTAGAGATGCTGTCATGTGTATTCCTAGGATTAAAGCTATCGAGGGTGGGTTTTTGGGTTTTTTTTTCTTTTGGTAACTCAAAAGCGATTCCTTCTCGTCTTCCTTCTTTTATATTGCTGCTCATTTTCTATATTGCTGCTTTCATCCATATCGCTGCTCTCATCTATATCACTGCTTTTGGGCAGTGTTCCTAGGGGATGTCTTAGTGGAGAGAAAGTTAACAAGAGCGTACTGTATCTCATCGTCCGTTCAGTGATCAAGACGCCACGCTGAGTCACCTGTGAAGAGATTTGAACACATTTTGGTCATATGGATGATAGTGAGAAAACAGATCGAAGGAGACGACAGCAATGTAATATCTTTGAGCTAGGAAACTAACGGACAGAAAAGAAACTTTCAATCAGACGGAAATACCTACCTGAAGATCGTCTACCTAAAATAACTCAACCGACTCCTGTTCCTCCACCTCATGTACAAGCTCAAATTCAAGCCATGGCTCAGGCTCAAGCACAAGCACAAGTACAAGCACAATCTCGTCTTCGTCAACAACTCACTTCCCCACCCAAAGTTGGTGAATCTAGTAAAGGAACTTCACCTTCACCTTCGATGGTCCCTTCTGGTAGTGGAAGCTCTGTGACGAATTCAGCGGTGGGCACTCAGAGTAATACTCCTTCCAAAGTAAGTATCTCTACATGATATTCATCACAACGACTGATGAACAGACATCAAATAAGAAGAAAGGTAAGAAGAAGTGATCTTGCCATTGTATCGAGGAGAAGTTGAGAAATTGGGAATGTCCATGAGGATGCATCGATAATGACGAATGATGACGCATGAATAACACTCAACGAATAAGTAGCATGAATATTCATAGCTTTTGTCGTACACACACAAATGATGAAGCTTCATCTCTTCAATCACGGGAATCACCTCCCAACGGGTTGCAAACTAGTCAAGACGCTTCGAATGACTAGTCGACCCACATCACGACAACTGCATCTACTCGAAACTCTCTGGCATAACCAATGAACAACCAATCATCCTTCTATCTCATGACGATACCTCGTTCAGCGCTGCTCTTATTTGGTCGCTTATCCAGGTGATCCAATCCAATAGCATCCTCTCCTGTCCATTTGTGGTCATACAGGATATCATCTGCATGTCAGCGACTGCACATGATGGATGGACGAATCACTCGCCTTCCTCCACAGGCGTAGGTTGTTTGAATATGGTTGAGGTGACTAGACCGAATTTATATTTTGCAAATTCCTTCTCTGTGAGACCGAGACGTTCTTGTAAGCGCACTTTAGTTTCTGAAAACGGTTCGCCCTGTGGTCGTCAGTATGGTTTACGAGTTGACGAGTTGACAGGAAAACATATGAAGAAAACAGAAGATACACTCACCTCGCGAAGAACAAACTTGCAAGGAACGCCATGTATTCTTTGTAAATCTCGGTGATAATGAAACAGGTTGACAATCTTCGTTCCATCCTCAGCGTTGACTTCTTCCAGCGGTATCTCCTCTGCGTAGATTTCAGCGGGATCGATGAGATTACCGATCATCTCTGAACCCGTGTATTCCCTCTGTGATCTTCCGCTTTGACTGATGTCAAACAACCGGATTCTACCGCTACCGTCAGATGGTGGCCTGACCGCGCTGGCAAGTTGGTCTGCCACATCGGCGAACGTCGTAGTCTTTGGCAAGAGGAATTTGTGGGGTGTTTCTTCCTTATTGTGTCTACCCGTCCAAATGACTTTGAGAGACTTTTTCGTCTCGAGTTCAATTATGGAAATGTCGAGGAGTTCATAATATACGATAACATTAGGATGTTGCGAGTAGTAATTAGTTTGGGTGATATCGGCGACGGATTGATTGAGAGCACGTTTGATGACGGCCTTCGGAGAACCATTTTGTGGGTTGGAGGATGTGAAGCGCAGCTTCAGAGGGTCATGTTTGAGGTAATCTCCCACCCTGTGGGCCATCTTCATGTCAGCGGGACATAAGACACATGATCAATGGTCATAACTCACCACATCGTATGTCATCTTCTTACTCAACATAAGGTCAAAGTCCGGCACTTTGCCAGTGGTGTCTTCATACCGTGATTTGAACTGCACCAGGACACGATTTTGTAAGAAATCGTAAAATTGCGGGACACTCGAATATAACGATTGCCCTTCCAGATCTTGCACCCTGACTGATTAGTCTTCCTCCAAGTCATACGTAGACTAGTGGACTCACTCTTTCTCCGACATCTCCACCTGATAGGTTATGATGTCACCATCCTGTATCTCGTTCTGCAAAAAGGTCTGTTTGATCTTCATGCCTTCGATCATACCAGCTTTGATCTCCTAAACGCATGTAAGCGACCCTCAGATTCATTCGCGCAGTGGACTTACTTCATATAGCTTGATCGGAGTCGATGATGGCCAGCCCATGCGCTCTTGTATGAGAGGAAGCAACGACTGAACTTTGTCGTTCTTGTGCACGAGCACTTTACCGGCACCAAGCAACGTCTGCCTTGAGCAGTCAAACCACTTGAGGAAGATCATGATGGGTGGACCGGATGGGTCTGCATGAGCCTGTGAAACATTAGCAAGTGGTGCAAACTAGAAATTCGACTCACCGCCGCGTATTTGCTCTGGTCAGGGTTGTAATCGAGATACAATCGTAGGTCAGTTGTCCGCGCCGCCATGTTGGTTCGGACATTCTCCATGGCTGTGGCTCAGCGTTTGGCCCTACCATGCCGAATGGATCACTTACTCTGTGAACCTTCGGATTCATTGATCGGGACATCAGGTCGGATCGTCTTATTCTGACGATTGACCAACACCCAAAGCCGGAAATCACGCTCGTTGATCTTGAAGTACGTGGCGATACGCTGCTTGAACACGCTGTATGTCTCGTTCTTCAATACACGGAAAGTAGGCAGCTCGGTGGCGGGGAGATTCTTATCATCGAATGAAGCAAGATCAAAGCCTTGATGACGGCTAAAGATCTCGTCGGTGATGACTTTTGCGGTAAGGTACAAATGTTGTTCATCCTTCTCTCGTCGTTTGGCTTCGAGCTGCTCTCGTTCAGCATCCAAACGGGCTTCTTGAACTAGTCAGCACAGCCACCAGTGAAGTATAAACCTGGATTGCTACTCACTAAGATGAGGGGGAGTATCAGCCTCAGTGAAGGGAGCCATAACAGTGTCTAATTCGGTTTCTCGGATGTACACCAACATATACGCGTTTGTAAACTTTTTCAGAGTCCTCGCCTGTGCCCGTTGATGCTGAGGGATCACTCCGTTGATCATGTCTCCGCCAAAGTTGTCCTCCAGGACCTCTTTGTCGGTCACAGGTGTCACACGATCATCATCGAATTTAAACCATCGCCCATCCTTCTCGGGTTTGATCAGTGCAAAATAGTGCCCGCCGTGAAGATCACCAGAGTGGACCAGAACGCCGTGAAGTTTGTAGTTGTGCGAGACAGAGCGATCGGCGGAGTCCTCCAAGAACTCCGCAAGATCTATCTCGAAGGGGAACTCATGGCGATCGTTGATCTGCTGGATCAGTTTTTGATCAAGCAGATTTGAAAGGCTCACCTTCACTAAAGCGTCCTTGTCTATATCATATTCGAATCTTCGTAGCTGAAGGTGTAAGACCGGTGGGAATGATCGGAAAATGACACCCTTCTTCGCCTCTTGCAGACCAAGTCCCTCGGCCTGATATCTGTTGTCTCCGTCCAAAGTCTCGACCGCGATATAGTCTCTGAACGACTCATGGAGATTCTTTATTCCTTTGATGGTGAGTTGGATGTCATAGTAGTCTTCGACGACCGATGACTCGAAATCGACGTTGATACACTTGATGTAATTTTTCATTTGCCCTTTGAATAATCTGGGAATGGAGCCTTCGGCCGGTGTTCCCTGACCATCAGCAACAGTCCATCACGTTTCAGCATCTGACTGACCTTCATCTTAATCTCCAATTTGTCTTGCAGGATTCGACTAAACTCTTGCACGTCATGTTGCATGAAAGAGTCAAGTGACTTCCACCCGAAAGACTTTGTGAGTTCATTTGTCCCGACAGGCTGATTTGATGTTTGAAGATGATAGAAGACTCGTTGCAATGCCAAAGACAAGGATTCTGAAGGTATGTCGCCATCTGTAGGTATCTGGTAGACAGCCTGACCCATCAGCTATCGTTTGTCATCCACTGATGGCACAGCATTTACCTTTCGGAAGTAATTGGTGCAGAAAAGGGATTGAAGAAGGGAGTTCATGTAACAGGTGGCGCCTTGATTCTTAAGACCGACATATCCTGTCTCTTTTTTCGAGTCATAGCTGCTAGTCAGTCCGACTTCATGTTGAGCATGTGAGCTTACTTGACAAAGTTGTGCCACAATACGCCTGTTGGATCTTTGAGGACTCGAACGAAAGCTGTGATCTCCACCTCGTCATTCTCAATGGTAGGTCTCGTCTTGCCGTTTGCAACATCCGGGACGTAAAGTTTTCTGATGTCTACGAATCGGGTGAAACCCCAATCACATTCTTCGAGGACGAAACGGTGATGCGCATCTACTTGTCAATCCTCCACTCTTAATGAAATCACAATAAAAACTCACGGGAAGATGTTTGTACGGTGGGATCGAAAGGATTTGAGATGGCCAAACAGAATTGAGCACAAGCGTGCCATCCTTCTGGTGCAGTCTTCGGGTTGGCATAGTCGAGATAGACCGAAACCATGTCATTGGGTACGCCGTTTGCGTTACCCTGAGGAAACAGCAAGATCCGCCTGGTACATCAACGACTGATTGATGTCTACTTGAGGGGGCCACTGACCATTTATGTCCACCACAACTAAACTCTGGTCCTACGATCCGTTTTGGCTGTTGGCTCCAATGTTCTATGCGCCATGTCTGCGCTTGGAAATCTTCAATCTCCAGTCCCAAATCAGGCATCGATTTTGCAGCGTATGCCTCATCTGTATTTATCAGCACTATCCATGTTCACTATCATAGATCTTATCACATGGAGTGAGATCGTGCTTGTGGCGAGAGTGTCGGAAGGAAGAGTGATATCGATGCAAATGACACTCACAGTCGTGCACATTTGGAGGATCCTCCACCTCCATGGGAGAGGCCGTTTCGTCCAGGATGATATCAGTCACGGTATCGTTTTGCTGCAAGTGGTCAGCTCTCCCTCTGGCTACATCTGCTCACGTCTCTCATCACGTAGACTATCATTGGAGGGTCGTGTCAGATAGATGGGTGGGTGGAATGGTCAGTCGGCCGAGGTTCAGATTGAACGTGACGTACCATGATGAGTCAGGTTGGTTGAGTGGGGATTGGTGGGAGATGTGAGAAGAGATGAAGAGGAGAGAGGACTGGGACAGTGAATATGACCCAGGTAGATGCCCCTTTGAATTGGGCAGGGTATCAAAGTGGAGAGGGTGATAGAGAGTGTGAGAGTAAGAAAACGTTGACGTCGTCGTCACTTTGTTCAGCGTGGCCACTCATCTCACCCACTCACCCACACTCGCGCGGCGAACCTATCCACCGGCGATATTCGGTGATATATATCTTCTCAGTCAACGTGGCACTCTCCACCCTTCAAATTCCTTCAAATTCCTTCACCTTCCCGTCTCCTTCACCTCTACTACCTCTCTCTCTCTCTTTCTACCTACTTTTCCCACCATGCATCCCATTCGCGAGCGCTCTCATCTTTTCTTTCTTACCTTCTTCACCTCCTTCTACATCTCTGGCAATCATCTGAACTGATTCTCCCACTCCTTGACCCCCATCCGCGGTTCTTAGATCCGTGACTAGGAGATCCCCTCTACCCACTTTATTTTCTTATTAGACACTTTCCGAGTGTCCGAAAAGAGAACAAAAGTGGGACTAGAGGCCTCCGCCAGCCTTATGGCTGCGCTATTGGTCGCGCATGAGTCAACCCGTGGAAGAGTCGTCGTTTCGTTAACCCGTTATGGGTCTAAAGAACGTGCTGGGGAGAATATCTCGGTCGGTCCATTGTGGATCAATCGATTGGTCTTCAGCGAATATGTCTGAACTTCTCGCAAACATCTCAAACATGTTAACTCGTATACTGGTGAGTCTTTGATTTTCATCTCGGTCCATATCCCTATTCCAACCTTAGTCGCCATGAAGAAGACAAATTTTCTAATCAATATTCACACTGTGCTACCTTCGGGAATGCGCTTACAACTTCAACGGTATCGGAGCGACACGACTGCTTCCCTCTTTCTTTAGAAGATCTGTCAGACAAAGAAACTTTTGCTGACGTTCATCAGTCTTATAACAGTGTAACAATGTTTCATGCATTTTCTACACGGACGTGAAAAAATCTGCACCGATCGCACCGATTCCACGCAACTGACTTGCGAACACATCTCTAATCTCTGATCTCTCCCTTCCTCATCACTGAAAAACGGCGTCTGGACTGATGACGTTCGTGCTCAAGATGACGGAAATATCAGTATCCCTCCCACGAATCTCGTCACTTTCCTTCTTCTCATCAAAAGAGACATGGGCACTGGCGATTGAAGGGAAGGTTACATTTATATACATGCATGCAAGTACACTTTTTGTTTTCTTGTTGTTGTTACGATGTAAATTTATGCGTCAGATTTGACAAATTCGTTTGGCGGCTTCAATCCCTTGCTTGAAGCCATGCTCCCATTCCCAAGCGTCGTGAGGTCTACCCTGTTCTTGTCTTCTTCGTCTTGACCATTGACCGACGAATCCAAGTTCATCTCCGTTCTCCAGGAAAATGACTGCGTCCTCCCACCCTTGTAAGAAGCCAGAACGGAAAGATTCTGGATCTGGAGTTCCACCATGACAAGCCCAGTAATCTCTGTGCGAGTCTATGATCAGCGACGACCGAAATGACAAACACCTTTCTTGTGACCCTCTTGCTCGTCACGTACGGCTTCTCGAAGAAAGGGTGGAGGATGGATGTCTTGAACCAATATGCGGAACTCACTGAATGCGCTATCCAGCTCATGTTGTTTCTGCTGATTCGAGTGCCGGAAACTCTTCCTAGGAAACGATGGCAAGATCTCTGCCCTCGCCGCATCCTTGCTCGACCACCCCGCGTCCCATCCCGCTCCCTTTTTGTAAGTCCAGAAAAACCACCCTGCCGTACATCTCTCATAAAGATCTAATTGTGCCTTCACGTATTCTCTCCTCAACCGGTCCTTCTCGCCATCCGGAACATTGGGTAGACTGGTCGGGGCGACGGTCGCAGAAAATTCACCGATAACAACGCTTCCTTTGGCTGTATCACAAACGCCACCGAAATATCCACTAAAACCATGACGTAGATCATGTGTGAGTTCATCCATTGACCGACTTGTGTCTTGAGGGCTTACACAGCGGTACAGATGATGATCAAGAACCACAAAGTCTGTCCTTCTACCAACCCAAGAAGCATACCAAGGTGTGTCCCAAGCATCGGATATGTAGATGGGGAATTCTGGTCCGACGATGGCACGTATAGAAGAAAGAGTGGTCTCGTACAGGTGTTGAAGACGATCATCGTTACGAGGCTCGTTGAGTAGTTCAAGACCTACGATCCAAGGGTCTGAGGCGAAGTGTGAAGCGAGGAATTGAATAGCGAGAGAATATGCTCGGAGGTTGGAACGTGAGAAGAGTTTGACTCGACCGTGGGAGGTTCCGGAGTGAGAGTCGGGGTTTTGAGCACCGGGAGCGGCGTGTAAATCTCGTGGTCAGTCTCAGAAGCTACCCTGGAATCCCAAGTATCAAGGAATCAGATGAAGGGAAGAACGAACCGATAAGCACCCCCAATCCATGTCTTTTGGCATCCTCCACAGCCCTAAGGATGCGTTCCCATGCACCTTCAAAGACCCTAGCGAAAGGCTCGAATTCTGTATCTCTCATAGCACCGGGACATGGTTTGGAAAGATGGTAATATGCGATCAATCTGGTCAGCTTGTCTTCCACGTCCACTCCGGCTTCCGATGCTGTTGTAGACATACAGAATATTATCAAAGGATTATGGTATGACAAATCCAGATACGAGAGCACTCACAGGAAGTCGAACGCTGTTGAAACCTCTCTCGACGATCCATTCCCAATCTTCATCAGACATGAACCCATCCCAATGAGCCTCCAATACTTCCCTTGCGTTGTCGCCGCTAGCAATATCAAAGTCGCTTTTTCCAGCATTGGAAGCATCATTGAATGGTCCTTCTGTGATCCATCTCTCTAGTACGAACCAAGAACCTAGGTTTACCCCGCGTTGTTTCCTATAGCGAGGAGTGAGACTGGGTCCAAGCGGGATCGTCGGAATTTGAGCGTAGGACGAATTGCTTGAAGTGGAGGGGGTTTGGAAGGGTGGGTGAACGTTATACTTGAACTTGTCTAAGAGACCCATGTTCTTGGAAGAGATGGGCAAGAAGAAGAATGGATAGGAAGCATGACGAGTCAATGGTGCAGAGTGCATACGGATGGACCGTGGACAGACTTTGGTGGTGTAAGCTTTTGATGACGTCAGGTCTTTCCACGTGGTCGTGGCGTCTCGTTCCTGAGCGGTTTCATCTCTCCGTCAAAACCGTCTCACTCACTCGCCTCATTCCAGTCCTGTCTTCACATTCACACACCCAACGGTCAACAAGCAGACGATTCGTCTCTCTGTGAAAACGATGGGTGACGCTTTAGTGAGTCTATTCAGCTGGTATCAATAATCAAGTACCCAGAAGAGTCTCGCTGGGAAGTCATGTCGACGGACTCACTCGTTTTGTCTCTCTCACTTATCTCACGCTCCAGACATGACATGGGGTTGACAGCGTTTCCGTTAAACTGATGACTTTAAGGCAGTGGAGGAACAACGATCTATCCTCAGTACCCAATCTGTTCTCCCTTCTCCTGTAAGTCCGTCTGTCCGCTTTCAAAACAGGGCTGACAGATAGGACACAATCAACAGCAAGTTTTGCTTCCCTCAACCGCTTTCTCAGCTAACCTTTCAGAGCTGGTAAAACGCATAAGAGCTCTGACCATCCGACTTCTGCCTGTCGAAGTAGAATTAACCGATATAACAGATGCGACATCATCTATTATCACCCCAGAGGTCATTCGTTCCTTCGCTCTTTGTGGGGGAGATTTTGGAGAGGCCGTGCCTTTCTGGTGAGGGTTGTTTGCAGACCACTCGATATTGGAAGGAAAGTCGGTGCTGATGGTCAGTCTTCTAAGAGCAAAAGCACTTTTCGTCAAAGAAGGATATCAAAATCCTGCAGATTATGACGAATGTTGTTGCCGTGCCACCGCTTGCGAGGTTTTGGCAAGACGTATAGTACATAATCTCCCAGCGGACAGATTGGAAAGTGTTATGTCGACTAGGTTCAGGTATAGGGATAGCGATGGGGATGTGTCGGCGGCGACTTCTCTGTTGGAAACGGCTATAGATCAGCATTGCACGGTGAGAATTTTGACACCCCAGGCCCTCTCTCCTCTCCTTCGAAGCTTGCGCAATATCAGAATTCATGAACCTATCACTCCTAGTGGTCTTTCCACGTGAGAGAATACGCGGGGTACTGAATGGGAGAGACAAAGCGAAGCTTAGATCTGATCATCCAGATCTTCCTTGCCTCCACTGAAGCTCAATACGTCGTCAATTGTCTATGGCGAGGAGACTGGGTTCAACAGAATAACGAAAATGACGATATCGATTATGTACGATACGAACCTGTGGAGAGGACTACCGTCTGGCAACACTTGAACCCTCAGAGGATGAACGTGCCAAGATATCAGACTGCATTTCGTCAAGTGATGTGGATCGTGTTTCTGTTCGGTAATTCCCTTTTGGCTACTGAAATACAAGGCTGACAGAAAGTCTACTCGCAGTCCGTCCAAAGGTGAGTGTTCGAGACACTGGGACATGAGCTCACGCTACAGTCCACTCGACTCATTAGACCCCGAACACGAATTTGACGAATGGGAATACGTTTTGTATACCATGACTCTCGCGTATCTCATCGAAGGTGAGTCTCCAGTTGTACTACTGTAGCGCATGGATGGCTGAGGTTTGAAGAGGGCGTGAAAGTAGTCAAAGTGAGCTGCGACGTCTGCTTGGACGACGAAGCTCACTTCTAGACGATCAAACTTGCCCCCCGACCGCTCGCGACCATAGTCAGTTGCTACTCTATCCTTACCACTGGAGGTAGAGTGGCTGACAAGATAGGGATTTTGGACAGTGATCAATTTTATTACGGATGGTCTCCTCCTATCCGCTTTCGCCCTTCGTATCGCTGGATTGAGTATGGAAGATAACAAGAGTGAGAAAGCGCAGCAATTACATTTCAAGAGTTTCCAAGTATTGAGCTGTGTTGCTCCTCTCATATGGATCAAGCTGGTCAGTTAGAATGCTTTATCTCTTGATCCTACCTCCCTCGTCTTCTCGCCTATCAACTTCTCATATCGAGTTGGATTATATGACGAGAGGTGCTAACTATGCAGCTCACAGTCTTTGATGGATTCAAGGTCGTTGGTACTTTACAAGTAGTGACTTTCCGTATGCTACGAGAATCTGCCATATTCTTCATCCTGTAAGTCCGCTATCTTCCTCCGCATATGTTGTCAGCGTCTCTTCCGTCCCCTGACCCAGTGTGGACCACTATGAGTGGTTGTAGCTGATATCAGACTGGCGCTTATGGGATGTGGATTCCTTCAATCCATGTATGCTCTGGATGCCGCAGATGGGGAATCAGGCGGAGGAGCCATCGTGATCAACAGTCTTATTCAAGCTCTCCTCGGTGCACCTGATTTCGAAACGCCCAACGAGAGGTTTGGCTGGCCTTTCGGTTTGATCGTTTATGTGAGTCGTCACTCTAAGCATATGAGGGAAGCTGAAGCTCGAGTACACTTGGAATTTCCTCAGTACTATCATCCTGGTCAACGTCCTCATTGCGTTGTTCGGGAGTGCTTATTCGGACGTGGAAGAGAATGCGACGGACGAGTATCTGGCTTTCTTCGCTCAAAAGACTATCTCCCTCAGTGCGTACACCTTACTCTACTATTCCCACTTCGAACTCGTTCTTGTCCCCTTCTTCGACCACTTCTCCTTCATCTGCCCTTAAACTTTCATCGGGGGATTTCGATTGCTTGTGCGTGCCACTCAAGACTTTGGGTCAGACGGTATTCTAGAGTAGAGCTGTCAGATGAGCAATGACCAATGCTTATCCCAGTCCGTGCGCCAGACTCTTTCGTCTAGTGAGTACTCCCTCATCGAGTCGAAAACCAATCACGATTTCGAAGAGTTGACGTTGTAGTCCAGCACCTTTTAACCTCCTCGAAGTGATATTTGTCGCTCCCCTGGAATACCTACTCCCTTCTTCCTCATACTTCGCCCTGAACAAGATAATCATGTCCATAGTCTTCTTCCCCGTCTTAATCCTCGTCGCACTGTTCGAATCTCAAATCGCACATTCTAAATCTCATCGACTCCGAGACTATTTTTCCGGTCCTCCGCCAGACGAAGAGGGTGATCCTAAGATTGAAGATCCGACGTGTGAAGAAGAAGGTGAAATCAGTAGGTTGACATTTGAACAATTGACGGAGAAGTTTCCAAGTACGGCAGTTACGGAAGGGGCGGTTTTGTTACGTGAGTTGAGGGTGTTGAGGGAGAAAGTGGAGGGGCTGGAAAGGGATATGGAGGGGAAGAAAGAGATTGGGAAAGGAGATGATGAATGATTAGATGTCTTATCTTTTATCGGATTGATGTTGGGGGGAAGTAATATTGAAGGGGTAAGTGAGATGCGAGGTGTCACGATTACTGTCTATGATTGATGCATGATAACATACATGAGTTGAGGTATTGAGGGTCTATAACGTTACATGTACCGTAGAGAGAATCTCATGATACAACATATTGAAACGTTTGGGGTAATGCTGAGTGGAATCAATGCTACATATGTACATGCTGCTGTGGAATAATAGTAGTTTTAGGGGAAAGTTGGAAGTTCATGTACCATCATAAATTCAACTATCATTTGTATCTGTCAAGTTTGTTTCATCGAATTCGACTTCGTTGATTTCCCATCGAGATATAGTTTGCTATATATCAATACCATCTCTTATCTCTTACCACATAACGTCCATTCAAGAGACCCCATCATCCCATAAGGACCATCCCATAAGGAAGCGCCGTATCAATGACTCGTGAGTGATAATCGAAACACCACCACCATCCGTTTGTCTCGCGAAAAAGTGGAGATTATTAGGTGTGTAAATGGAAAAGAAGGAGAAAGATGAACTCACTCTTTGCCATAACCCTCCACAACTCCCCGTGAAACCTAAAAACCAATCCCCTTCTGAAAATGGTATGAAAGCATCACAAACTTTCAATTCTATCCTTTTCTCATCCTGTTCTATATCCATCAAACTCCCTTCTCCATCTCTTCTGTCGAGGTTTATATCGTCAGAGGTACTTCTTAGTTGTAGATATACTCGAACGTGTCGAGAAGAAGCTTTGAAATATATTTCTAAAGTGTGTAAAATACCATCGGACAGAAAAGGGATTTGACCAGGAAGAGAACATGATAATGAATTACGATGATGTGCGTTAAGAGGTGAATGTATAGATATATGAGGTATTGGTGGATCTTGAGCATGATCTTGACTGAGATATGTATCGACTATGGTTTAGTACTAATAGATCCAACATATTCTTCTGTACAAACAGCAATATGACTATGGGACATTTCATTGTTGTCTGTTTCTAAATTATATCCTTTTCTCCTCAGAGCCAGATGAGATGTTGGGTTTTCATTCACAGCATAAGTCGGAGAAGCGTTTCGTTTCACTTACAACTCAATTAATTCCATTCGTAAGGTCGTGTGTCTTGTAAGGATGTGCAATGAACAGTGGTGTTAAGAGTGAGAAACTCGAGAAAAGAAAAGACTCACTTTCAATAGCGAAATCTCCTTGTTTACCAATTCCAGAATAACCTAAACCAAAACCACCTTCCCCCAATTTACGTTCACTTGAAAAAACAACAGCTATCCCATCTGCCGCTCCACTTTCTCCTGCTTCTATCGGAGCTTCAAACTTGAAATCCATGACTAATTTCCAGCTCGTACTTTGTGACACGGGTTGTAAGCTGTATAAAGCGGAAGTTTGATCAGGTCCAGAAGTAAGTATCAAACCTTCTTTTTCTGACCAAATTGGGTTTCCGAATGTTTGATAACCTAATGGCATTTTCACTTCATACATCAACTGCACCTCATGCTTCTAAGATGAGATGAGAAGACTTACTTCTGATCTTTGGTTTGGACATATTTGATTCTGGCAGTCCTAGTTCGTCTCGAGCTTTCCTCCATTTTTCAGGACCGGATATCCGACCGTTCAATCGTTCTTTTTGAGATTGCTTTAATCGTATAGGAGCTTCCGCCACCCAATCCGCTTGGTTCTTATCGATTTGTAGTAAGAGAAGACGTTCTGATAATGGTAGTTGTAGACGACAAAGTGTGGTATCATCTTTCAAAGACTATTGTCAGGCGACTGACTTGGTGAGGAGAAGATAGCTGCTCACTTGTTCAAGTTGAAATTCTGGCCATCCCTTATCTCGACGACGGATTTGACAATCGGTGGAAAAGTCAGATACGTACACAGGGGTAACATCTTCGGCACCATCACGTCCGTACGCTCTGTAAATCAACTTGTCTGACTTGCATATTTCACGAGGAGGGATATTACGACTACCGAAGAAGATTTTTAAGACAGAGAGGTTACTTGAGGAGAAAGAAAGATGAATACTTACAAACAAAACGCTTGTTTTTTCCCCCAGCCTTGATCATACAACATAGGTTGGTTCACAGCGGCTTCGCTGGTCGTCAGATTGACAATGAAGATCAGACGTACCAAGGATCAACGTGAACCCAGTGTTTCTGACTCGAGGAATAATATTCACACCATACATGATCTTCACTAAGACAATTAGTAAGTGTTGCATTTCCTTTTCATATTGTGTGACCACGCACCTGTTCCAGACGTATCGAGCTCTGATCTTTGAGACTTGAAGGAAACAGTGAAACAGATGTGCCCATTCACCTACTTTATCAGCATATCTTTCCTAAGCATCTTGGTTCCAAATCACTCGAACAACCCTACGTACCATTTGTGATGAATCTTGGACGAGAGAGAGGGAGAGTGATAGGGTGAGAATATTTGATCAGGTGGGTATGACTACTCACCACATCTTCCTTCTCTAGTCCGAAGAAGAGCTTTAACACTTCCATACCTAACAAATCGTCTCATCCCTCCACATTCCGGGTCTAGACATTTATGTAACTCTACTCTCTTCCCTTTCTCCGCCAACTCTTCCTCTGTAGGAGTTCCGGGTTTATCGTCACTTTCGGTCATTCCGCCGCAAGATGCACAAGGGATGGGATCAACCCATTTCATATAATCTTTTTTAAACCATCTGCATAAAGCTACGACCTTGGCATCTTCTTGATCGAAGGGCTCGAAAGGTGGGTTTTGAAGTAATTTGGAGATTTCATCTTCGAGATTCGGTATCACCTCAAGGATGTCTCTTTCAGTTGCCTGTCCTAGCTACATTGTGTAAGCCACAGTCACAGACGAGGACTTTGCTCTTTTCAAACAAGTTATGAGAGTATGTATCGTGAAGAGAGCTGCAGTAGGGTCAGATATGAGGGTCTTGTGAGAAGTGAGCAGCGAGAAGGGGAAGACGAGGAACCAACCCACCTGAAGGGAAAGAGGCACACAGTGCGTTTCTAAAAGTCTACCAAGTATCCGTTCTAACTCGTTGTTATATGTCCTCGGGAAGCCGATGAGACGTAGTAATCGGAACCCATCTTGCTCAAGAGCTTGACCGGCCAGCTGAAAGATATCATTGGATTCCGTCTGTGTTGGTATTGAATAGTCTGGGATGAGACCACGAGGAGGGAGAGACCTGCTTATGTAGCCGGCTATGTAAGGGGATAGGAGGTGGGGGTTGGGAAAGTGATTCTTGTGCTCGTCTGTTTCCGTCAGGTGACGCATGTGAGTAAGAAGGGGAAGCTCTGAGGTAAATGGTACGTTTGTACTCGTACTATGGTACCAACTGTAGAAGAAAGGATGAAACAAGTAAGTAACCCCTCTCTGATCGTGTCGCCGTGGACAGGACAGGTGGAGGAGGTTATGACCTTGGTTGCCTATACGGTGACACACCGTACACGTACACACATCCGCTCAGTTTGTGGGACATGAGACGACGCAGAAAGTATGGTACATGGTACTATGAAGAATGTGATTGTATACGATTTGATGCATGAGTCTGCTCCCTCTAAGAGCCTTCACCTCTCATAATCGACTGCTTCCTTCTTCCTTCCCTTTCCCCTTTCCTCTCCGTTACTGCATTTCCTTTCAGTCTTCCATCCCTTCCAACCCCTACTGCTTCTTACTTCCTCACATCTGGTATCTCACTACCCGTGTCTCCCGCCTGCTCGTCCATCTCCTCTCCCTACTTCCTGTAGAACGGTATCCTGAATCCACTCAACAAAGCCCTCGCCTGCTCCTGAGCCCTTTCTCCCCTCGCGTTCGTCTTGAAGTACATATGAAACCCATGTAATCTCGGATAACTATCAATGTTCGATTCGATCTGGGGAAACAATCCCATGGCATTTGCAGGCAGACCGAAACTGACGATACCCGCCAAAGCACTGGGTGACATTTTGTTCGCTGATGAAGGGGGTAATGGCACTCCGGGCCAATCTCGAATACGAGGAAGTACGAAATCCACGAGTGATTGTATGAAATCGTACATGGCTTCTCCCTTAATTTCCACCTTGGCAGCGATGGGCATACCAGCTCGGAGCTTGTTAAACGCTGAAGCACCGATTCTAGAATTGACGATCTGCACTCCTGATGAACCTGGTCGACCACCTCCGTTGGGCGATTCGCCAGAAATCACACGTAAGGCTTGTATGGCAGATAAGAGGTTTTGTTTTCTCCCGATGGCTTCTTTGACCATGGTGTGTAGAACGATAGATTCGAGTTTGGGGATGGTTTCCGGTGTGATGGGTTTGGTGGAGGGACGTGCGGGACGATTACCACGAAGAGGTGGAGTGGGACGGTTGAGTTCATAAGGTGTTTGAGGCTCGAGTGTGGGAGGTGATGAAAGAGGTCGATGAGATATACGAGGATCATAGGACATGTACATTAGGTCGGTAGAGAGGGTGGAGTCGTAATGTTGATGATAGCGATTTCGATGGGTTAGACCGAGGTGTATTTCAGGAAGGGGAAAGTCGGGTATGGGGGAAGAAGATGCGTGTCGGATGGATGGAAGTAGTTGAGGATACCGGAGGGAAACTCTCATGGTTCTTATTGTGCTCATGCTGGTCCATGGCAGCCTTGTCGTTGTTGTTATCATTGTAGTCGCCGTCGATGTCATTCCCAACGTTGGAGAAGAATTTCGACAGTTTCATGGTCAAAAGCGGCGATCGCCGACGACACGATGTCCTCCTTCACTTTCACTTTCCTTCTCCATCTCTAAGGCCGATCTGTTCATTCCATACTCCACATTTTTCAATCTCAGCAAGGGGCCCAGAGGGCGGAAACCATGCCCTCTCCCCCGCTTTCAATTCTTCAATCTCTATCACCCCGTATAGCCGTCCTCACCTCGGAAGATGTCATCCAATCTTGTGAGGCCAATGGGTGTCGAGGGCTTGAAGAGCTCCTCCGTCCGTGGGAGGGTGGAACTGAGCGTGGTGAGTACCTCATGTTAACAGATACTGTTCAAGCTGATAGTATCAGTTTCTGTACTGTCATCCACCTTGACGCCTACTATACACCCAACGTTCCCTCTGCGTTTCGTCAACTACAACTCGGTGTACCTCAATCCAGCCAGCTCAGGTCCAAATCCTGACATGGTGGTGGATATGATCAGCAGTCTGGTGGGACGGAGGAAACCAGGTGAGATCACTAAATCTATACATGTGTATATGCTCATCTACTAGATGAAGAACAACATTATCCACTGACTAAATCACTACTCCTCTCTTCAAGACCAGTGGCAGTTTACGAAACCTTTCAACACCCCGTCGGCGTACTACTCGCCGTCTCGACCTCCACACCAGATCCTCTTGGTACGCTAAGCAGGATGTACCAACAGACAATGCTACCTCTCACCGGAGCTTCATGGATGGACGGAGTCAACGTGATGAGGTTTTACGTCGCGATTCATGATGTGTCCAGAATGGGAGATGATCTGGCACCGTACGTAAAAACTCCCAAAACGAAGGTTGCTGATGATCACAGGGCACATGAATTACTAGCCAATATCAAGAGAGCTCATGGACCACATTCCACCCTCCTCGTGATCAATTCTCTATCTTCTACCCAATCAAACCCTCCATCACCAGACATCTCAACTCATCCTACTATACCCCTCCCTCGACCTTTCGCTCCAGAAGCTGCCAGCCCATCGGCAATGTCTCAAGTTTATGCTTCGGCACTATCCTCCCTCACCCTATCCCCAATGTCAGCCGCGCCCACTTTCATGAGCAACGGGAATGCAGACGAAGATCAACGAAGTCCGAATCGACCTGCCAGGAGAAAGCTGTATGCTTCGAGATTATCAGCGGAAGACACACAAAGACTGGCTGCGTTGGTAAGAGAATTGGTTGTGCAAAGTCTGGTACCATGGATGGAAGCCAGGGTCAGGGAATGGAATGAGGTGTATCAGTCGAACAGGCGTGGGATTGCTGGAAGACTATTCGGAGCTGGACGGAAACTGTTTGGCAGTCGACCCTCCACCCCTTCTGCGAATAATAATCAGGCAGGTTACAATACTGTCAAGGGCTTGTGAGTTATCCTTTCCCTACACCTTCACATTTGTGCAAACTAGCGTACAGAGGTCTTGGCTCACTGTCTTACAGTTACTCCGCCAATGCCATCGAGGCCATCTCCAGAAGATTAGCAGACTTCGCATTCATGCTTCGAGACTATAAATACGCATCGGGGATATATGATTCTCTTCGTCGAGACTATGCTCAAGATCGAGCATGGCGTTATGCAGCAGCAGCCACCGAAATGCTTGGTCTCTCTCTCCTTCTTTCCCATCCATACTTCTTACCTTCATCTCCACCAGCAGAGCTTACTAGCCCATTTACCACTCTCCAACATACCGACATATCTCTCTGGCTTGAACAAGCCGTAGTAGCGTATCACTCCCACACACCCCCTGCAGAGGTACAGACAGATGCGTTGCGCGCCACCATTCTTTACTATGAAGCTTGGAAGATGATCGGTGAATGGCGGGGTGTGGGGTTGGCTCTGGTGAAGAGTGCTGGGGAAGCGGATGAGGTACCTAATGCGGTCATAATAGAGGAAGCTGCTAGTGCCGACGTCAAAGGCGGAAAGAGCGATAAGGGTAAACGAAGAAGAGCATTCCATCTGGTCATGGCCGCTACGAGGTACGAGACTGCGGGATTGGTGAGTGATCATGAATACTTGCTGGACTTGTTTTGACAAGACAGAAAGCTTATTCACGTCGATGTTTAGATAGAGCATCACACATATATCGAACGGCGCCATGGACAGCAGCACAGGATCGGATCGAGTATTCCCTAGGCAGGCAGGCGTATACATTGGGCGAAAGCGATGTCGCTGCGGAATACTTTCTCAGACTTCTCAGGAAAGAAGACACTGGTGTTCCTGGATCTCAAGGTATGCTCCTAGAGGATCTGTCATTGGCTTATGAGGTGAGACCTCATGTGATATCCAAAAAACTTACTTACACCTCAGCAACTCAAAAGTCATCCTGAACAACTCGCTTCATCGAAAGACACGCTACAGCTTCCTACCCCTGTCTTTGACCCAAAGAAGACGAGGATCATCACGTTGTCCTCTCAGTCCAACCTGGCAGGTCCAAGTAAGCGCTGGGGCGACCTTGAATCTCAGGCATTGAACAGCTGGGATAGAAAAGGTAAACGACCTATGCGGCTTTTGCCTGACGAGACGAATGTCATAGGCATCGGAGGTATGTGCCTCCTAGCTTCGCATTTCACTCGCTGACCGCTCAGAAACATGTACGGTCGAAATGGTCGCTACAAATCCGTTGAATGCTCCTCTTATTATTTCCGACTTGACGATCACGACCTCATCTATCGACGGCTTGGAGGTCTCCACTCTACCGGAAATTATTCTTGAAGCATATGAGACGCGCAGTTTGTCGATAGATATCAAAGCCAACACTCCTGTCTCATTTTCCCTCAAGTCGGTGGAATTCATGTTTCATAGATTGTTCCCTTGCTCGCAATCGCTGGAGAGAAAAGGAAGTCGACTGCATTCGACGAAAGAACAACGACTCACCCCAACTTATGCGAAAGATACGAGTTTGCAAGTGAGGGTCGAAGCTGGACGTCCGAGCGTCCAAGCTGACTTTGTCGGTCTACCAGATGTCATGTATGCGGGAGAGGTTCTGCAGGTTGAATTGAAAATAAGGAATACTGGAAGGGAAGTCGTCAGAGATTTCGGGATCTTCGTAGGAAAGAGACTATCGATCAGACTTGCCGGTGCGTGTGAAAGTTTATGATGAGGATTAGCTGATGTTTCAGATGATCCCAGCTCGGAAATGACGACGCTATCGAATCACATATCAAACCCCAAGATTGTCCCTTTGTGTGAGGATGATATGTCTCCCGACGAGTCGCGGACAATATCACTCGTCTTGACCACTTTCGATGTGGGAATGATAGATGTTCTGGCATTATTGGTCTTTGCCAGTGATTCTGGCGAATCAGCTCAACGACTTTCGGCGCAAATGGAAGTTTTACCCATAATATCCGTCACGACGTCCGTCCTGGCTTGTCGGGATATTCAGGATGGTTATCTGTTGTCTATTGAAGTGAGCGATTTTGATATTTCTGTCAACCTGCTGACGTTTCAGACGAATAATATCTCTACCTCTGTTATACAGATCGAAGATATATCAGCGTTTAGTCCATATTGGCGTTCTGCGCCAAAACAGACGTCAGTTGTTTTTGCTAGTCAAAGTCATATCTGACAATCAGGATTTCTGCAGAGACGTTATATCCAAATCAATCTTCCCACAGCATACTTCAAGTGACATCAACGCAGACTACTCTCGACTTACAACAAACATCCGTCATCTCCGCTTTATCTGATTTATTACGAGGTATCTCACCAGAAGATTTACCTCCTTTACAACATCCTTCATTCGTTCCTGTCTCTTCTCCCCCGGATGAGATATCACACCATCTTATACATTCTCGTCGACTATGGCGACAAAACCAAATATCCGTCGATTTTCCAACTTTATCCAAAGATATCATTTTACGTTTATTTCCACTTTGGCAACCACTCGATCTTGATCTCATCATACATTACACCATAACCCCCAACATTCTCTCCAATCCGACGACATCCATCCATGATTCTCCCACACCTTCATCTTCGATGACCATCTCCCCACATCCCATTTCGAGAAGAGGTCACAGTATGATCCACTGTGTCCCCATAGCCCCTTCTTTCTCCCTGGTGGAAGAAATAAGATCAGAAGTTGAAACAGCTTTAACACTCGGGACTAAACAATTGAGAACAATGTACGAAGAAACATCACGTCAACGTAGACTTTTACTATCTTCAATCCTTTCCGGTCCATTATCAATTGAAGAAGATCCACTTTCTTTTCATCTTTTATATCCCTCTAAAAATGGTCAGATATCACATGATTTCTCCCTCGGATCATTCTATCTTCCAATAACCTTTGTTCTCCAAAACCGATCACCTGTTCTTTCCTTGAGATGGGTGTTGAGACTTCCTTCGTCGGACGAAGAGAGAGAAGGGGTAGGTCATTGGATAGGAGGGTTGTTGAAAAGAGGTGAGATACTTCCAGGAGGGGAGGAAAGGGTGGAAGGGAGGATATGGTTGGATAGACCGGGTTGGGTGGGTTTGAAAGGATGGGAAATTGAGGTAGAGAGTGGGGTACAAAGTGAGGAAGGTTGGAGGGTAAGGAAGAGTTGGGTGAGAAGTGGTGAGAAAGGTTTAGTGGAAGTTTTGAATGAGAAATCGTAGTATTGATGCATGGTCATTATCTGGCCGAGTCATCCTTGATCTATCTATTTTCATTCCGTCCAATCTGTTCATAACTTGTCACAGAAATTTCCCAGTCAGATACACAGTCAAGTAGAAGATCAAAACGTTCAAGTATGTACGAGTACGACAGCCATCAAATGTAAGAATCGAAAGTTCACATGATCACATGGCGATGGCTCGGGGCGGCTTCCAAATTTCCTATGGGAGAGGAATGGCCGCAGTGGGGATTTCAAAATTCAGGCACAGTCACCTCAAGATATATCACGTGATTCTCAAAAGATAAGATCAATTCTCGGGAAAATACAAGATATCATAACACCGAAACTCCGTTAGCCGTTGGCTTGCAGCTTGTCAACAACCCTTCCCCAAACGAATCAAAGATATAACCCCCATCTCTCCCCTCTCATCTTCCACCATATCCAGTCAATTCTTTGTTCTTTTCCTTTCCCAACCAACAACTCTAATAAATCAACAATATGTCAGGACGTGGTAAAGGTGGTAAAGGTCTTGGAAAAGGTGGTGCAAAGAGACACCGAAAGATATTACGTGATAACATTCAGTGAGTCATGTCTTTCCCCTTCCATCTGTTTACTTCCACTTCTCTCCCTCATTCCTCATTCCTCCCCACTTGGTATCTGAAATGGATCAGCGGTGCTGGTTCTTGGATAATCGTCATGAAGTTTTGCATGTGCTGTGGTGTGCTGTGGTGTGGTGAGGAATAGTCTAAGAAGAGAGGAGACGGTTCTTTGGTACCGTCATGATGTATTCGAGTCAAGTGCTGATTGAAAGGGGTATCACTAAACCTGCTATTCGTCGTTTAGCTAGAAGAGGTGGTGTGAAACGTATTTCAGGTTTGATCTATGAAGAGACTCGTGGTGTTCTTAAGATTTTGTTAGTGTCTTTCCTCTCCTCTTCTTCTCTCTCCCTCACTCGATAACTCTTACACACCTTCACTTACCTCATCTCATCCGGGATTAACGCACTTTCATCCTTGTCGACTCGACCGGCCAGTTGTCATCCAGACCTTGAAGAAAGAGGATCTGGGGAGATATGCAAGATACAGAAATGGTAATTAACGAAACAGCCTCGAAAACGTTATCCGAGACTCTGTCACTTACACCGAACACGCTAAACGCAAGACTGTCACTTCTCTCGACGTAGTTTACGCTCTTAAACGCCAGGGACGTACTTTGTATGGATTCGGTGCTTAGGTCAGTTGATTTTGATAACATGAGATCTGAATTTGGGGATGAGAGGAAACGCATGGGTTGGTTATTGTTATCGGGAGGAATATTTCGTTTTTAGCTTTTCATACTTTCGCTCGACCGATGGATTGATGCACTTCGCGTTGATGCCCCACACACATTGAACGTGGTTAAACCATCTATGGCCAGAGTTGGTACCACTCACCACATGTTGCATATTGCATACTGCATTGACATTGCTCCTCATATCAAGCGACAACATGTAACATGAGATGAAGAGTGGAGAATATAAATTTAGATTAAGTACAATTTCAAGCACATGACCCGTTTCAATCCTCATCCGATCCACCTTTCTCAACATCTTTCTTTTTCTCTGGTCTTGTACAATGTCCTAACCAATATCCAAACTTCCCCGTCCAGTGATGCAAGTGTCCATAACATCTGATATCTTCCGCTTTCTCTTTCGTATCAGGTATAGGAACCCTTCCACATCTTCTACCGATACAATAAGTACTATCGCAACAAGGAACCCTATCTCCTTCTATACCACCTTCTTCCGTAGAAGTCTTAGATTTCCAACTAAGATTCCTATGATCTCTCATTTCTTCTTTCACACCTTCAGGTAAACATTTGAATTGACTTTCATGTTCTTCATCCGTATATTCTCTTCCTTGTTCTTTTGCCAATCGACGTTTCTCTCTCATCTTTTTATATAATTTTCGATCCTCTTTCCAACATTTTATACCGCATTTCTCGGTACATCGTAAAGTTGGACAAAGACAATAACGATATGTTCCTTCACAACAATGTCCCCAACATTTAGCACAACCTAGACAACATTTACACCATTGATAAAACATTGAGATCCATGACCAGAGGATACAGAATGCTAAAAGGGCGAGGACTGTTCAAGTTAGCTGATAAAACTGTGATTGGTCAGCTAGGAGAAGAATGACTGACCAACGATCAAGATTGTTTTGTATTTCTCATACAAGTTGACCCACTACGTGATATCAGCTTGTGACGTAGAAATAGGAGAAATGTGATTCACCTTTTGAATAGTTGCCGCCTCTCCGGTCAAAGATCCCACATCTCCTACAATGCCCTAGTAGTTAGCAAGGTATTTTCACACTCGTCTCCTCCGGTCTAGCACCATCAAATTGTTCCCGGAACCAGAAAGGCCAGTGTTGAGAAAGGGCAGACGATTATGAAAATAATTAGAAGGTGAGGAAGATGAGGACAAGGTGAGAAGATGAAACCGAAAAGAGGTTGAAAACGATGAAAACGACGGAAACGACTCACCCCCGCAGCTGAAATACCAGTTCCCACCGCACCCGCAGCAGTATTGATAACTCCCCCCGCTCCATCAGCCACAGTGGTAGCCACTTCTGTCGCTGTCGTCGCTACAGTCTTGCCCGCATCAGTGATGGTGGTAGCTGCACCTTTGCCTGCATCCGTGATAGCCCCGCCGATATCTCCCAATCCCATGACGTCGATGCGTGTTTTGTTTCAGTCGTGTATTTTTCTATTTGACCAGTTGGCGATGGTCGAGTCCTCGGATGAGACGATCGGACCAAGATTGTTGCTTGGCTTCGAGAACGACAAAAGATTTGAACTTCTCGCCTGGAACCTTCGATGGGACGTCAATTCCCTGCCTGAGGTTAATCACTCGAAGACGCCTGTCCTGAGATGGAATGTGTGATGCTGATGAGACAATCAACTTGTGGGAGAGAAAGACATTTTTCCTTCGAGTTCACCGAGGATAGGACTCTGCAAGAGTGTCAGAGACGTAAGGAGCACGGAAAGGGACATAAAGGATGTCAGAATTTGATACGATTTACCCCGCCAACCGTCGGGGTAGGATCAAAGGGGTGTGTCAATGTCAGATGACAACGGTTTCAATAAGTTACACCTCCGACTTATGGGCCTCGGGTCAGTCTCCGCTTGATTTGTCATCACCTTTATTCATGTGTTCCGAATAGGTCAATGTACGGGGGAGCATCAGAGAGGGAGTAAGTCGAACGGTTTCATGTCAAACCTCGGACACACATACCTTTCTTCCTAGCTCTGGTGTAATGATTCATGAGTCAGGACGGACGGTGAAGAGGAACGTTTCCAATGGGACGCTGGTCCATGGCGGAGAAAGGAAACGCGTACGATGCTCGAGAATTGCCGGTGGTGACTTGTGGACGCGAGGTTTACAGTCGAGGTGGTAGAATAATGAGTGGAATCAGTAAGGCACACGTTCTCCCCTCCAATCCCAGCATCTCCCGCCCCATCCTTCCCTCCCTTCACGCGAAGTTCGACTCATCACTCCGGTCATATGTTCGACGGCTTGTTCCACAGTGAAGACTCCTTCGTCCGGTTTAGCTTGGGCCTTGTGACCGACAACGGGACGTGAGAGTGAAGTGAGGACAGTGCCGGGGTGATAGCCTATGGCTAAGGCGGAAGATGACTTGTTGGCTAGCTGGGTGGTCAGTCATTCTGCCACTTCGAGTAGACAACACTCACCTCATGATCCAGACTCCGGATGATTTGGTTGAGCGCAGCCTTTGAACTGTTGGTCAGTCGAGGTCCACTTCAAGGAGACGTAGCCCACTGCCTCATCCTCGACCGGCAATGACTCCTACACTAGGATCTGCTTAAATACTGAGCAATACGTGCAAGACGACATGAAAGCTCAATAGAAAACGGAGATGACGAGAAACTTGGAAGGAAAACGGATGAGGAAATACAATGAAGATATGCGAACTCACGCTCGGTACGAATACCACCCTCCTTTCTCATTATCCTCTATACTACCAACTCTTGCACTGAGCGAAAAACACAGACTTCCTTCTTTATTAATCAGTCCTTTTGCAGGATCTTCTTTGCCCTGATTGAAGTCGGCGGTCAACTCGTTGAAATCTTTCTTGCTAGGGAGAAGGGGAACAAAGTGTTTATAGGTGAGGAGATGACCAAGGGAATTGATTTTGAAGCTCTGTAAGGCGGAATCGATGTCGATAGCGGATAGGCTCTTCTCGGGTTGTAACTGACTAGTCAGCCCAGCTTCGTGAGATATGTGACAGAAGACAAAGCAGACTTCATGAACATCTTGATATACAGTCTAAGTTATACCGACGATGACGAGCCAGAACGTCAGGAGGGATAGATGGACACAAGAGATAGGAAGAGGGTAACAGTAGGAAGCATCAGGGTGAGGATAATGAACCATGGACGTACTATTCCCGCTAAGCAAGCGATAAGTCTAACTTGATTGGCCCCCGTCTCTTCTCTTACCTGCTCAGCTGCTTTTTGCAAACTTGATTCCTCCGTCACGTCAACCTTTCCTATCACTTTGACTCTCTCAGCCGGCAAGTGTGACAACTTCGATTCGAGGTCAGACGCTGAACCATGTGTCAGAGCATAGACTTTGAGAGAGGTATGACGGAGGAGGTGTGTGGTGAGGGCTAGTCCTAGACCTCCAGCGCTTCCTTGAACGATAGCTACAGACATGGTTGAGTGGATGTCAGGTACCTTGAGTCTCTTTTCAGTATGTAAGATGTCAATTCAGCGTGTAGTTGGTCATGAAGGGAGATGAGAGAGAAGAAAAGGAAGACATCGGATGTTTCGATCGATCGCGGTGACGTCTTATCCGACCTGGGGCCCCCAGATGACGATGACAACTACATACACTGAGGGCTCATTCAAAGAAAAGAATAGAGCAAATCAGCAATTCAGTATGTACTCACCCGCATACGAGAGATATCACGTTTAGACTACTCACAAAACTCCCTTGCATTATAACCTCTGATCCAATTACTCCTTAGGCTAATCCAGCGGTAGGTACTGCAAGACACATGGCTACCCATGAAGCCCCGACCAACCCCCCAACAACTAGAATATCTCTTACAACGCTATCGAACAATTCTTTAACCCTTGGATCCTCTACCACTGTCTCGGGTCCGAAGATCTTGGGTCTTGGTTCCCGACCAAGAGGGGTGTCTGTATGTCCAAAAGTGTCAAGAAGAGACGAAAGACCAGCAGGCTGGCTTCTTCCTGAGAGCCCATCAGACATAAGCCCTCTGGCAGTCTCGGATTGATCGAACGGGGAGATGTCGGAAGATTCAAGAGGGCTAGCGGGAGAAAGGGAGACGTCAATTCCAGATCTAGAGTAAGGAGACAGAAGGGGTGTAGCGGATATCGGAAAGGCATCGCTGGGTGAAGGTGGTCGAAGAGTTGCCCGACGTGCGGCCATTCTTTGATCATATTCGTCTGATGTTGCGTGGGAGACGCTGTCCTTCTCGGTAGGTCCTGCCTCTAATTCAGGTTTATTACCCAATTGTTCCCCTTCTGTCGAAAGGTGAAAAGTCTTGGGAAGAAATACAAGCTCCCAGTCGTTCTTCTCTGTCCCCGGAGACACTCCGATGACACCTCCCAGATCTTGCAATGGGTGAACTTCTGGGACAACGTCCAATCCGGATCCTTCCCCTTTGGCACTCACTGCTGGTTTATTACTGGTGAGTGTTGGTGTTGCTGGCGGAATGTCGCCTGACTGAAGGATATCGCCGTTTGATTGAATTGTTCCAGTAGAATACAAAGTCGCTTCATTGTCGTGCTCCACATCGTCCAGCTCCCACGGTCGAACCTGCCGGGAACTGCGACCCCACACTTGAGTACAGAAACCTCTTCGTGACGAGTATAGCTGCATACAGCCAAATGCCACGAATATGACGGAAGGGAGTCGGATAGCACGTAGAGCAAAGTGATGGCGGGGCAGAAGTAACGTGAGGAGGAGATAGATGAGAAGTCCGATGGATAGATCGATAGTGCCGACGGTGAACCTTGAGGTCAGATACATTTTTCATGGCGAGAGTCTAACAGTCAGAAGGGAGGGGGGATGATAGATTACGGGTATCTGTGAGAAAGGTATGCAATAAGTACTCACCAGAATATTCGCTTGGGGCGATTAATATTAGTCCTGGCATAGGACAGAAAATGGGGTAAAGATTGTCTCTCCACCACCTGGTAAACCTCCTCGTAAATGGGTAGGAACTGGAAGTCAGCTATTTTTACACGTAAATGAAGTAAATTTGACACTGACCACCTCAGGAGCTGTGCTTCTCGTGAGACATTCCTGTGCAAACAATCTCAACTCATCCGCTATTCCCAACTCCCTACTACCACCTGGTCTGAGAAAAGTAGCAAACGCCCTCTGTGCTTCCTCTCGCATCGGCTGGTTTCTTGGCTCACGCAAAACAGTTCCCGTCGGAGGAACTTTGATGTGATGAGGGGTATGTACGAAAATTGGTTTGACGCTATCTGGCTTCTCTGGTTTCTTAGTCCTCCCAAACAATCCCTTCTTGAGATGCAGATGAGTTGAGTCGTCACATCGACACGTCCCTTCTTGCGCCCATTGGCAGGGTCTGAAAGTTTCCTCATTCGGACTTGAGTGTGTTGCATGGTGGTTGTCAGGCGAACTTGACCCTTTTCCAGGAGAGTCCGGTTGGGAGCTCAAGTTGGAGCTACTGGAGGCAGACATGACATTTCCTTCTGCTAGAGCTTTGTCTATATGGACGAATGGCTGGTGACGATCGCCCATTTTTGTATTGGGAATAGGTGTCGATTCTCTTTCTGATAAAGGTAGAGAGTCCCATCGAGAGCGGTAAGATCGAAACCATATGACGAACAAAAGATTCTCGGAAGAGTATTCCTTATGTGAGACGAAAGCTGCGAAATCTGAGAAGGAGATAGGAGGACAGGTCTCACCATTGAGTATGTGTGAGAGTTTCAGTTGATCGAAAGTGGGAGTGGAAGATACTCTGCGGAGGGCGTTGGAGAGAGTAGAATTGAAAGTGAGGGTTTTGGTGATTGAGAGAGAACGATTGGTATCTTTTCCTTTTGTGGGGGAAGGCATGATGTGTCAAGATGATATGGATTAGTGATGAAAGAGTGGATACAGCAGGAGTAGTGCAGTTGGGGAAGAGGAAGAGAAAGAGGAAGTGAAGGAAGAGGTTGGATATGGTGAGAAAGAAGAGAAGGCGATGTAAAAATGATGTCCGTCCCTCTCGGTTACATCTTTTCCACCTTTTGCCAAAGTCAATCACTACTCATAGCCAAGGGATCAAGGGGGAGACGGGTAGGGCGCTGTTCTCCTGATGGTGGATAACCTTAAGGGAGCAAATTATGTAAAAGCAGAGTGATCACAAGTGAGACAAGAGGCAGTAAAAACGACAGTTATCGTTTCACCCGTCAACATCACCTCACCGTGCCTGGTCGTCATCGACATCCTCAATCCCGGTCAGTGGCTCGGCATTTCCTCACAGTAACTTACATCTCCGACTTTGTTTCCTTCACCCTCATAACACTTGAACCCAGGTCTCAAGAGAGTAATCATTAGGAATGTCAAAATTGCTACGACCATGTTCAAGCTCATCTCGTCGTCATCTTTCCTACATCACCCCTCGTCGGCTCGAACCCATCTTCTTTGTTTCACACCGACAAAACGCCTCTTCACACCTGATTCAATCAAGATCACCTGAAAAAGGAAAGGGCAGAGAAGTTGACAATGGTTACGGTCCGACTCCCACCGGAGAAGCAGAGGTGGATGATTTGGAATGGGATATGAGAGTGGGTGAGTGTGTTTCACTCTTTGATCCGACTTTGCACATTTTTCGACGCCTTCCTTGCGGCCTTGCGATGCCATCATACAGTACGTTTCCGGTTCGTCCTCTCACGAACGTGATCAGGACCCGAATAATCACTGACGACTCAGCTAAAGCTATGTTGCACCTCCAAGATACCTTGCCTTTACTTTTTGACCCTACTCAGTCATCCTCCAGTCTGTTCCCCTCCGATATCTTCAGCAAGAATGTCATTCTCAAGCTTCCCTCTCCCTTACCTCTCAAGGTGAGTAATCTGAAATCCCTAACATCCTTCTCTTTCCCTTCTTTCGACATGCAGACTTCACACAGGATAGGAAATGATAGCTGAGCTGACAAATAGATCTCTTCCTTGTCAGGGTATCAAATGGCTTTCTCCATCGCTCGTAACGGTATGCAAGGTGATTCTTCTCCTTCCTTGCTTTCGAGTGCTCGTTCACCTTCAGCTCTACACACAAACTTACATACAAGTCTAGATCGAATGTCCTTCTCTCCCTCCCCATCTTTCTCTCCCACTTTACTTCGCGGTACCTCAGATGTATCAACTCTGCCCAAACGTCAAAAACAAATACGCGTTCTTCTTCAAATCTATGGAAAACCTCGTTTACCCCCACACAAAGTGAGTACACTCCAAAAGTCATACTAAACTGACGAATAGGAAACAATATGGCATACTTCCTCTATGTACTCTTTCTCTCCATATAGCGGGTTGATCAACCTCCACGAAGTAGAGACGATCAGACCTTTACCAGGCGAAGGAGTGGCAGAATGGTTGATGACACATTTGTTGAATTTGACTCATAGAGCCGGACAAGGAGAAGGGGGAATACCCGCTCCTGGAGGAGCAGCTTCAGTTACTGCTCCAGAGGTACAGGTTGTCAGGTGTGGATATGCTGAAGGGGGAAAGAAGTGAGATTAGTGAACTTGTAGACATCACAAGAATGACATCATCCGGGAATCCTGCAAATTTCTTCCCATTCAAAGTTTTCCCATCCATCCTCCATTCATCTCTCTGATTTTCCCAAACTTTGCAGTATATATTGCCCATCAACCCCTGCATCTCTTCTCCCACTCAGTAAAGTATCCAACAAGTCCACCCAAGCTGAACATCCATCTACGTAAACCTATCTTTTTGTTGCCACGACTATCCAAGATGCCCAAAGCTCCGAATAATCCACCTCTACCACTTAATGGGTTATTCCCCATTGCTAAACCCTCAGGACCCACATCGTGAGTTTCGTCCACATCTCTTCTCCCTCCAGACTAGTCGCTCACCATTCACCCTACGAGTCGACCTGTACCCCTCCGTTCAATCCTCACCTGGAACAAACTGAGATAATCGATATGTTAGATGGTCCAGGGTGCGGTTGAAATGTAAAAAAAAATTACGAACTGAATGATAGGATGAAAGTCATCGACGCTATCACACCTCTTTTACTTGAATCTCGTCTGTTCGACGATCCCGAAAGACGAAAACATGGTATGTCTACTCAAAAACGTAAAAGGAAGAAGAACACCACGCATATGGGATTGAAAATTGGTCAAGGGGGAACATTAGATCCTCTAGCTGATGGTGTATTGGGTAGGTAATCCAATCCTCTACTCCTCTCTTTTTGCAATCATATTTTTCAGCACTGTTTGCTGTTCATAGGCGTATCATGCATCATGTGGTTACTGATGATGACGAATGACATTGCTGACCTACAGTCATCGGCGTTAATAGGGGTACGAAACATCTCAATCGGTTTTTGGAATGTACCAAGGTGATTTAAGATATCTTGTATACCATATTTGACCGCTGATGGTAGGAATATACTTCTACTGGACTATTAGGAGCTGCGACTACGACATATGACGCAGAAGGGGAGATTCTGACTACTTCCAAATGGGATCATATAACTCGGGAAGATGTCGAAAAGGCCATTGAGAAATTTCAAGGAGAGATCATACAGACTCCTCCTATGTAAGACGAACCTTTTCCGTTCTTATCATAGGATTCATCTTCGCCATCACCCATCGCTCGTTTATCATCTCAACTCGAATGACTGTTATACCCGTTCAACACACCGAACCGTGAAATTCTTTCAGAGTGATATATGGCGCAGAACAAATATGGTGCAAGGTTGTATTTGACGCTCATCTCAGTTTCTCCGCTTTGAAAATGGACGGTAAACCATTATATGAATACGCACGTTCTTCTCTACCTCTCCCTCGTGCCATCCCCACTCGAAAATGTACCGTCCATGTGGAACTTTTATCCTTTACCCCATCTTCGGTCACCCCAAACGATGGAGGACATAATTACCGTTGGCCCACTACGCGTTTGTCTTCAGAACAGAAAACGATATTTCAACGATTGACAACTTTGGTTCATCAAGCACAGGAGAAAGAACATTTGGCCGAACCCCCCATCCCGGATCTCAATCTTCAAGCTGATATAACATCAGAAGTCCTTGAAGATGGAAGGAGACCTCCGACCTTTGAGATCAAAATGACAGTTTCTAGTGGGACATATGTGAGAAGTATCATTAATGATATAGGATTGTTATTAGGATGTGGGGCACATGTGGTAAAATTGACAAGAACCAGACAAGGAGAGTTTACATTGTATGATGAGGTTCCTTCTAATGGAGCAAAACCGAGTGGAGTTACCGATAAGAATGATGGAGTTACCGATGGGAATGATTCTCAGAAGGTAGAAACGAGTCAAGAGGAGAAGCAAGAGACGAGTGGAGTAAAAGAGGAAAAGTTGGATCATGATGTGAGTGTGAAAAAGGAGGAAGAGTCGAGTAATGATGTGGGAGTGAAAAAAGAAGAAGAATCAAGTGAGAATACCACAGCTTGTATCCCTTGGGAAATATGGGAAAGAGCTATAGAAGCTCGTAAACAACGAGGAGGCAAGATGAAGAAGGAAGAAGAAGTTGACGAAGAAGAAGCCATGGGGAATGGTGAAGTTGAGGAAGAATTGAAGGAATGGGAAAAAGAAGTTTTGAGAAGATTCGTCCCTGTCCCTGTGCCAATATCGGGGACGAATTCGAGAGATGGACCATTGATGAGGTATCCATGAGAAGTGTCATGTTGGAGTGATCAATATACTATATGTCTCAATGCATACATCTTTTGAAAGTTAGTCAGCCTATCTGGTATTACATTCATGCTACAACACTCGGTCCACTGACTATCTGTATGCTGCCAAGAAGAAAAAGTTTAGGTCCGATGCGAGACTAGGGATGAAGTTCACAGTGAAATATAATGCAATTCTTTTGCTATTTTGACGACGAGACGATCCACCTCCCAACCACCCTTTGGCTGAGTATCGATAATCCGTCTAGAAAACTTCTCATTGATCTCCTTTAGGTCCTCACAGGTCAACGATGTACCCTCATGCCCCTCATTTGGGTTTGACACGTCGGACGGAAGATGGTCCAAGGTCTGATCAGTGATATAAGATGATGAGGGAGATGTGAGAGATGAAGTGGGAGAATTGAGGAGACACCATGCGAATGATGAGTGAAGTTCAGGGTCGAGATGATAGTTTGGTAGATGAAACTTGGCCAGGGTGGGTTCTACAGCTTTTGACAAGAGGTTGCGGAGCTGATGGTAAGTGCTTCATTTACTCTCTCGATTATTTCTACTATCGTATCGAACACCTGCCTCAATAGCATGATATCATCTGTGTCATGAAAACATGATTGTTTCATTGACGTTCGATCTTCCACCGGGGCTACTGCGTGAACTGCGTGGACTGACCAGCGGAGACAAGTGTCCGAATCAGGAGACATCATGCTAGGACCGTCTCGAGATGACTGAACGCAGATACACAGATTGACGATTACTCATTAAGAATGGTTTGGATTAGAAAGAATTGAGAAGGAAGATTTTGACTCACCTCAGGATCACCTGCTCCAAGTCTTAAGGCGAAAAAAGCTCTTCCACCATCTCCCTGACCACCTCTTTTCTTACCATTGAGATACACTTTGATATTCCCTGCCAAACTTAGTCGTAATGTCATCTTCTCATCTCCACCCATTTCACTCGTCTCGTGACTTGAGCTGATATTCGATGTTGACCGAATCATCGGTAGAATTGTTTTCTTTACATCTTTCACGGCTTTAGATAGTCCAGAGAGGAAAGTAGGAATTTGAGATCTTCTCAACCCTAACGGATGGCTGAGGGAGATATGTAAATCCTTCAGATCATGTGTAGGATGTATATCTTTCGTGGGTAGTAAACGTTTGAGGGTAATGAGGATTTCATTCAATGTGGACCGAAGTGAAGTGGGTATAGAAACTATTACATCAGTCAAAAATCCTAATAGAGTGGTGGGGGAGAGGATAGGACTTACGAGATACGTATATATGACAAGAATATTCTCCTTCTACGAATGGACGTGTTCGTTTCCTTCCTTGATGTAAAGTTGGATCGTCGGATGGATTAAGACCTATGAGATAGATTCAGTTTATGGTACTAGAAGAGAGGAAGATAGGAGAGGACTGACCGGAAGTGTAAGTAGTAGGTAATGATGGGAGGGGACGTTTACGGCTCGGGTGTCTGGTCACGGAGGATTTCGCGGTCGCGGTCTCGGTCTCGGGTTTGAAGAGGTTTGGAGAGTGGGAAGAAGTCGAAGTAGGGACGGATGGAATGGAATCATCTGATGAATCATAATCTACCAATCCCATCCGTTATGACGAGTAAGTGTAGTACTTCATTTGAACATGGGAGTTGATCAGTGGTCAGTGGGGAAGAGTGGCGGAAGGAAAGTGGCAAAACTGGATAATCCCGACGGAACTCGAATTAATCCCGACGAAATTTTGCCACTTTCTCCCAAAATACGACGTTCAACTCCCATATCCCGTCACTACTGACCCAAATACCTTCACTATTAAAAAATCATCTTTCCGTGGCTTTTCTGATATCATTGGAATGCCTGACGCCTTCTGAGTCTATTCATACCATTTTCGGAACATCTTTCGGAGTATTGACCCCAGGGGAAGGGGCAATGTCCCGAACCCGAAATGGCACTTTGCTTTTCGGTCCCCTTTCGGCAGAATTCGGGGGCTTTCGGTCATAGTCACATACTCACTACTGACCAGCAATCTACCCAAGTGGATACCTGATTCTATGCGTGTATCTTTATATTCATGTTAACACATGCATGGTATTCATGTTAACACATGCATGGTATTGAATGCACAAAATCCTAGCAAGGATCCATCATGTTGACGTGTTTCTGATGGTGATGGGGTTGGTTGAACTTTGTCACGAACTACGTCGTAACACCTCGATTACTCCACCAACAATGACCCTCCTTTGGCCATCAAAACCCCATCACGCCTTAACCTCTTTACTCTACACGTAACTCAGGACTTCTGACACCAAGTACGGCGAAGTTAGACGGAGTTAGGCTAAGTAGGGACAATGGGAGCAGAAGTACGGCGAAGTTAGACGGGGTTAGGCTAAGTAGGGACAATGGGAGCAGAAGTGCGGCGATGTTAGGCGGGGTTAGGCTAATTAGGGACAATGGGAGCAGAAGTGCGGCGATGTTAGGCGGAGTTAGGCTAAGTAGGGACAATGGGAGCAGAAGTGCGGCGATGTTAGGCGGAGTTAGTCGAAGGAGGAAGAGGATGGCCGAGGGCTCGGGGAAGTTGGACGAAGTGCGTTGAAGTACGTCAAAGCGCGAGAGGGTTGGATGAACGTCTAGGAGGAGTAGATAATATTAGCTGAGAAGATCGCTGAAGTTCTTCAGCGATCCTTGATTGTTGTCAGTAGTGAAAGACAGATAGAGATAGCTATAAATCAAGATACATCGCCATCAGTAGAACAAAACCCTAGTTAGAGTAACTACGCCGAAGTACGCCGTAGTTACACCCCTTTCGACGTCTGCGCCCTCCTGGTTGGGTGAGACATCGACTCAGAGCGTGAAGTTAGCCGAGGTTCGTCGACCGTCGGTCTATTAAGAAATAGTTGTTCGACGGCCGTGACAAACTTCTACTAAGTACCAACACGGGCTGACGCGATTTTCCCCGTTTTTCATTCCTTCCATTCAGTTCTTCTCTTCACTTCACTTCACTTCACTTCTCTTCAGCATCTTCATATCTTTTTCCAGCTTACATTAGCCAGCGTTTTTCATCTGCTCTCCACTGCTCACTCTCAACTGATCTCACTGCTCATTCTGCATCTGTGTGCTTCATCTCACCTTCCCCCTTGGCTCGTCCAAATTATCTTATCATCAAAATTAGAGTCTTTCCACTCCCCCTTCCTCCCAATCTCTCTGACCTCTTTGACCTCTTTCTCAAAATGCCGAACCCCTTCGACTCAAAAACAGATAAATCCAGTGTAAACCCTCCGAAGGGTTACAAATTACACCCCGACCATGTTCACTTCCAAAAGTATCTTCAGCCACAACACCCCATTTGGAAGAGTGAGAAATCACTTCGTTCTTTTCAAGCTGAGATAGGGTTCTACCTCCAGCCCTGGTGGCATGCAGAGCCGAAGTATCTTCCTCAGCATGCTGAAAAGCTAGGTCTTCGGGAAGCTACCCCGAAACAAATGAAGGAAGAGGGTATTCGGGCGATTACTAGAGGGTCACGATGCTATTCGGCGGATGAGTCGGCCACAAAGCCAAACTGTCATGTCCAGTTTTGTGTTTCGGCTTTCAATTACACGTGAGTATCTCTTTGTCAAATATGGCTCCCGAATTCGGGAGAAATTAACGAAACTCAATGCTGATCTCAGGCATCCCGAAGTGAAATGTGTCAATGTACCTGATGGTCGACCAGTGTTTCTCAACCGTTGGGACGAAGGAAAGTTTCGTGTCTGTGTCCACTGTTATAACTCCACAAAGCCCCCTCTCACCTGCTCCCTCAAGGGCAAGCCGACCAATTTCCTTGTCGAAGAGTCCTCCGAAAGTGAAAAACGGCCGAAAAAGTCATCACAAGGTCAGGACAAGCCTGAGGAAAGCTCGGATTCTGATTCGGACTCATCGGACTCTGAACATTCACCACATCCCTCCCCTCGGAAACCTCGCCGGCCAGCCACCACAAGACGCTCTACAAGAGCTTCGGCTCCCAAGAAATCGGTTTCTCCCCCCCCTCCCGAAAAAGGAAAAGGAAAGGGAAAAGAAAAAGCTCCCCCTGCAGCTTCCACGGCGATTGGGTTCTCAAATGCGCCACTGCAGGAACCGGTAGGACCGAAGGACAAGCGTAGGACTGCTAGGGGAGGCACTGTCGCAGCTGGGGCTGCTGCAAAATCCCATCCGAAATGGGTTGTCAGACCTTCTCCGAAACCCCTCACCGAAGCGCCTACGTCTGCTAGAGAGCAAACTCGTTCGGAGGTGAGTTTTCTAAGTTCCGAACCGAAAGCAAGTCTCAGCAGCTGACTTTTAGGGAGAAACAGAACTTTCTTCTCCAGCTGGTCCTACTCTTGTTCAAGATTCCAGCTTGGGTCAAGAGGATGGAGAAGAAAGACCTCAACCGGAACAATCTACAGCCCGAAATGAAAGGCCACGATTCCCTCCCCGCCCTCCAAAATTTGCCGATGTTGTTCCCGAAAAGGAACCCTCCGAAACCGCCCCCCCCGTTTTCTCTGCAGGTTTGCCAGCTGGGATCTCTCCCATACTTGTCCGAAGTAGTCCTGTTCATCCTCCTGTGAACAAGCGGGCCCTGGAGGATGTAAACGAGTCCCAGCCCGAAACGAAACGAGCTCGTCCGTTCTGTTACAACCTGAGAGCTAGGCAGTGACCTAACCTAACTTCAGTGGACGACAGCGATGAGATACGAAGTGATAGCGTAGAGTGGATTGGACGATGATGAAGAACACCTCAGTGTAGACGCGTTATGGCGTAAGTCACTTAAGCAATTGGGATTGGTGGAGTGGGTGGCAAAGTTTGTGAGAGTAACTTATGAGAATTCATCGACGAGGAAAGAGCCCTCGTGAAGGGGGTTTATATAGACAGCACTTTCTACACGGTATCACCTTGAGTAAGACTATTCTGACCAATCACATAAATGCCTCAGCCAACCCGTGAGTCACGGAGTAAACCGTAATGCACGGTTTAACCGTGTTATACGGAGTGGACCGTGCTGTACGGAGTAAACCGTGCTGTACGGAGTAAACCGTGCTGTACGGAGTAAACCGTGCCATACGGATAGGATGTTCCTGAGGTTATGATACAGGCAGTGTCATAACAGTCGCCCCTCCTCTATCCGTCACGAGCTCCTGCAAGTGATATCCGGCCAACCTTCTTCCGGCCACTTTTCCCATCTAGGGTGGCTTGGTTGTATTTTGCCGCTTCTCTAACTTCCGGCTGCTTTCACTATCAGCCGCTTCCTCGGATCCGGCCGTTTCTCCAACTTCCGGCTCCTTTTCACTTTCCTACCGGTTGTCTTATGTTGAGGGCCGCTTTGGCTTAATCCGATCCATGTCCCTCTTAGCTTGTTTCCTCAATTGATACCGGAGTTTTCACTGGTCTCTTTCATTTTAGACCTATCTCTTCCGTTCTAACCGGATGCTTTTAGTTCCGTCCGGTCTTTGTTTTATTTCCAACCGGTCTCTTCATTTCCAAGCAGGACCCTTCATCTCCGACCGGACCGGTCTCTTCATTTTCCAAGCGGGACCCTTCATCTCCGACCGGACCGGTCTCTGCCTTATCCGGTTGGCAACATCCCTTGTTAACCGGTAGCTTTCCTTGAGTTCGTAGGATATATAATGGTCCTCAGTATCTCTTCTTGTCGTCCCCAATCAACTTAACTTCTATCTTCAAACTACTTTTATTTACTTCAAGTTACTTCAATCAATCCCGCAATGCAGCGATCTACTCCGACTCCTACCCTTGGTTATCTACCCCGTCCTGGGACTGGTCTGGTGAGTCATAGTACTTTCTCCCCTTTCCGTTATCACCATCATGCTTGAAATACTCCTGTTTGTCCCACTTGATTCATCAATTGAACTGTTACTTGACCCATCGTTTGACTTATGGCTTTTGCTTGGTCTATTGCTTATTCCAGATTGAAGCAAACAATGGACCTCTCTTCGTTCGAGCCCAAAGCGCTCCTGCAAGTCTTCCCGGAGACCAAGTTATCTCGCTTCCTTTCAACAACCCGTATAAGGCAACCAACGTTGGTGTGGCTTCGTCGGAGTACGATCCCACTTCTCCTCCATATGTTCCAACTTCGCCTGTCTATTCAGCTGCGACCTCGCCTTCGTATGTCCCTTCCACAGGCGAAGAATCTCAAGGAGCTGGTTCACCAGATTATACTCCTGTAAGCCCTGTACCGTCTCCTGTCCTTACACCTGTCGCTACTCGGACTTCCGATGATATTCCTGTTATCGATCCTCAGAATATCCCACACTCGATTGCCGATGTTGTGGATTCGGAGTCGGATTTGGAGATACTCTTTGAAATCCCCAAAGCGCCCCCCAAACACATTGGTCATTCCAAAGCCATCACCTTCCCTCTTGGCTTGACTGGTTCAGAAGCGAAGAAACAAATCAAGCTTCTGTCTCGTGTATGTCTTCACTTTATGATATTATCGATGCTGATTTCAGAAAATTGCAAGGAACACCAATGCGCTCTTTATCCAAAGACATGGTATCTCCATTGAAACCGTGAAGTGTTACACTTGCGAGAAGAAAACAGTGGGTGATCGTCGCTGTCTTCTTTACTCTGGCTTGGGTTGTGCTCGTTGTTCTTTCCAAGGCATCAAATGTCCTCTCAAGGAACGCAAAATGACTCCTGCGGAACGTGTTCGCGCCGCGATTGAGTTGAGGAAAGAGTTGAAAGGGATTATCTGATTGTATGTTCCGAATTTTGATCTGACTTGTTGTCTCGCTAATGGCAGAGTGCCAATGTTTCTTGACAAACACCTGTGAATATTGTTGAACTCGTAGCCCGGTAGGAAGTCGTGAAAGTAACCGTCTTGATCGTATTTTGTGTGGTATGAATCCTGTGATGATGCGGCTGAAGGGGAGAGTTTATCGACAAAAATTGATGTGAGAGGCTGTTTTTATCGTTGTTCCTTCTTGAACACTCGTTCAACCACCTGTTTCCGCCAGTCTGAAATTTTTCCCCCATAGAGTTGTTCCCCCTCTTTCCGAATCTTCTTTCAGACTTGCAAAATTCCCCTTCTTGAGCGTTTGAGACGAAATCTTCATTTAGTCCGTGCGACTTTGGCTTTCTGCCAACCTCATGGGCTTTCACCTTCTATGTCCTATCCTTTTGCCGCTTGTTGATGTGTATCAATCCCTAATTGAGTGTTCCCTGTTCTATGACTTGTCGCTAGATATTCCAGATGCCAGCTTTCAGAATCTGTCCTTCGTCTTTCTCTACCTAGCACAATCAGTGAGATAATCGAGATCAAAGTCACCCCCCAAAACATGATTTCAATATGTTGTCCCCTAAGAAAGGTCTTCCGACCGTCGCTTCAGGTATGCTGGTCACCATGCTTGTATTAGAGGTTCTAAGAATCCTCCTATAGTAATTTGGGGTCTAGCTTTTGAAACCCGTTCCTGGTTTTGCCTGCCGCATGATTATGGAGGTAAGCATTGCCGGAACAATACTCCCAGACCGGGTGAATTTCTGCTTTGTGCCGGAGGCCTTTGATCATTGAACCCATGGTAGCCGAGACTTGGCCCAAGTGCCTCTCCGCTTGTACAATCCATATGGCCAAACTCTTAGGCACCGGTCATCGTATTACCATCTATATCGACATTCTTCCTTCCCCTCTGATGGTTCAATGGGGCAGTCGGATGGCACCCTCTTTCTTCGTCCTTGTATGTCCTGCTTCCAAGTCTCCTATACCAAATTCTGAGTGGAACGCAGCCGTGATACGGTTTGGCCTACTCTTGGGTACGAGATGTAGCTTTGAACTCTTCAAGTCGTTCTTGTGCATTATCAAGATGCGATGGTGGTTCCCATGTATCATGTTCCGGCCCATGACCTTTCCACCTAATGAGATATCGTTCGGGTTCTCTGAATCGCTTGTTCACTTTCATATCCAATATCTTTTCTACCTCGTACTCTAACTCATTATTGATTTCCACTGGTGGTGGTGCTGGCTGAATACGTTTTGGAATATGATTTGTTTTATGAGGTTCAAGCAGGCTGATGTGGAAAACATTATGAATTGGCATGGAAGATGGTAGTTCAAGTTCAAATGCGTGACTTGAAATCTGTCGAGTGATCTTGAATGGTCCTAGGTATTTGTAGTCTAGTTTCTTTGTAGGTCGTTTTGTTTTGATATTTCGTGCGTCAAGCCATACCTTTTCACCTACTGTGAAGGAAGGTGCCTCTTGACGTTCTTTGTTTGCATATTCTGTTGATCGAAGTATTGACTTGGTGATTGTATTGCATAACCAAGAGTGTAGATCCTTCAGATCTGTAACATATTGTTGTACACCTATTACTTCCGATTGAGGTGTAAGAGAGCTGAAGTCTGCAATAGGATTGAATCCTTTGTTTGCAAAGAATGGTGAAATAGAAGTTGTGGTGTGTGGAGCATTGTTGTAGGCAAATTCTGCCAAGGGAAGCCAACGAGACCAATCATCTTGTTTGTATGTTGTATAGATTCGAAGATATTGTTCCAGTGCTTGATTGATTCGTTCTGTCTGCCCATCTGTCTGAGGATGGTATGCAGTACTAAAATTGAGTTTAATGTTGAGTTGCTCTGCAAGAGAGCGCCAAAATTTCGAAGTGAACTCAGAACCTCTGTCACTGACAATATTCTGAGGTAAACCATGCTTAGAGAACACATGTGTAAGATAATGCTCTGCAATATCTTCCGCTGTTGAAGAAGTGGATGAAGGAATGAAGAGAGCCATCTTAGTAAGTCTGTCGACTACCACTAGGATTGCGTCGTAATTGTTTGAAAGGGGTAGTTGCTCTATGAAGTCCATAGAGATCGAAGACCAAGGATAAGGTGGAACAGGTAAAGGCTTAAGAAACCCATAAGGCTTATGTCGACGAGATTTGGTACGCTGACACAAATCACATGAGTCAACAAAGTCATGAATTTCTTCCTTCATCTTAGGCCACCAAAAATCCTTGCGTATAAGCATATATGTCTTTCGCTGTCCAGGATGTCCCGCTGATGGCGAATCATGTCGAGACTGCATTACTTCAAGACGAAGCTCTCCTGCTGGTACGTACAGTACTCCTTGATAGAGTAGTGCACCATCTTCAGCTGTTGTAAAGCTATCATGTCTGTAAGCATCCTGTGCTTGGGCATTGATTATGCTCTGTCGAAGAGAAGAAGTGATAGAAGATTGATGAAGTGTAGAAGAAGCAATATGATGGGGTTTAAGAAGTTGTTGATAGTTGTGAGGGTTTGCGTCTCCGCTGAGACTAGAACCTTTTACCGTTGGATGGTAATCAGGTCGTCGAGTAAGGGCATCTGGCTTGCCTCCATGCGTGCCAGGTCGATATTGTATCTTGAAGTTGAAGTCGCTGATAAACAAAAGCCATCTGGCCTGTCTTCGATTGAGTTGTTTTGAAGACATGAAGTACTCCAGACTTCTGTGGTCTGTAAGCACCAAAATAGGATCCTCTGATCCTTCCAAATAATGTCGCCATTCCCTAAGCGACTCAATAATAGCAAGCATCTCCTTATCATGAATCTCATAGTTGAGTTCAGGAGGTGTCATCTTGCGTGAAAAGAAAGCGACTGGTTGTAGGTTGCCTTGATCGTTTGGCTGTGATAGAACACCTGCAATGGCGTAATCGGAGGCGTCTGTTTCAAGTGTTGTAGATCGAGTAGGATCAAAGTGTCGCAACATAGTTGCTGACTTGAAGGCATCCTTGAGGGTGTCAAAAGACTCTTGGGTCTTAGATGTCCACTCAAAAGGTAAATCCTTCTTTGTCAAAGTGGTAAGGGCTGTAGCCTTTTTCGAATAGTCCTTGATAAAACGCCGATAAAAGTTTGCGAATCCTAGGAAGACACGTACATCGTGTACGTTCTTTGGTGTTGGCCAGGTGATGATCGAACTAATCTTCTTATCATCCATGATAACTCCATTAGGCTTTACTACTACACCTAAGAATTCAACTTCCGTGGAGTGGAAGCTGCACTTTTCAGCCTTAGCATAAAGTCCCACTTCTCTAAGTCGCTGTAGTACTTGAGAGACATGTTGATAGTGGTCCTCCACTGATCCGGAATAGATGAGGATATCATCCAAATAAACAATGACAAATTTATCCAGCATGTCATGGAAGTTGTGGTTCATGAGATGTTGGAATGAAGCAGGGCCATTGGTGAGACCAAAAGGCATTACAAGATATTCGTAATGTCCATAGCGTGTGCGAAACGCTGTCTTCCATTCATCTCCCTCTGCAATGCGCAATAAGTTGTATGCGCCTCGGAGATCGATCTTGGTAAAGATCTTTGCATGTCGAAGTTGATCAAGTAACTCTGGGATAAGGGGAAGTGGATATCGATTCTTGATTGTAATGGCGTTGAGTTTTCGATAGTCCACGCAGAGTCGTAAGGATCCATCCTTCTTCTTGACAAAAAGAATAGGTGATCCTGCTGGTGATTCAGAAGGTCGAATGAATCCTTTCTCTAGATTCTCGTTGAGATATTCTCGTAGAGCTTTGAGCTCTATGTCGGAAAGTCGATAGATAGGTCCTGGACTAGGCATAGTCCCTTCTTGTAAAGGTATATGATGATCATAAGGGCGATGTGGAGGAAGCTTATCGGCATTTGATTTGCTAAAGACATCGAGGTATTCATGATACTGGTGGGGTACGAGGTCTGCATCCGACGTCTCCACCAATGTCGCTGAACCCGCAACTGCCTTAGCTTCTCTCCATGGAAGGGTAATGGTGAGGGAATGCCAGTCAACATCAGGGTTATTATGGCTAAGCCAGGGAATTCCCAAGACAAGAGGATGTTGACTGCGTGACACAATATGAAATTGTGTTAAGGGATAGGTATGATCACCTAGAGTGAAGGTAATATTCACATATTCTGTCAATGGTTCACCCCTGATAGGGAGACCATCAAACAAGTTGAGTTGTTGTACTGTTTTTAGTTTTTCTGTTTTAAGATTAAGAGATAATACTAATTCCTTTCGAATAAAATTCAGAGTCGCACCAGAATCAACAAGAGCTTGATATTTTTGGGTTTTACTATGTTTTTGGGTTTTATTGTTTTCAATTGATATCTGAATCAGAAACTGTTTTGGAAGAGAACCTTTACCTTCATTTGAGTTTACCGAACTTGATTGTTGCCTAGATTTTTGGCGCACCAGCTCTAGGTCCTGTTTATGGTGCTGTGCGCCCTGTCTTTTGCATTATGAGGGACAGAGTTTGCCTGCACCTGACTTGCGTGGGCCGATGCTGCTGGAGTACGTGTAGAGAAACGAGCTTTGGGGCAGTCCTTAACACGATGATTGATATCACCACAGTAAAGACAGGCTCCACGTTTCTGACGTCTGTCATACTCATCAGGTAGCAATCGACCTCCCTGAGTAAGGGGCAAAGACTTGGTGTCACGCTTCTGCGCAAAAGATGTTGGACCTACTAGATTAGTAGTACGAGGGGGTGGACCCCTATTGAACATAGATCCCTTCTGAAAGGTAGACTGTGGTCTGTTTGAAGTAGATGAATAAGATGATGGAGTAGGAAGAAAGTCACCCCGTTCTAGACGCCTTTCATAAAGACGATTATCAATCATGATGGTTGTCTTTATAAGGTCTTCTAGATCTTCAGGTCTTCCTATACGAGCAAGCTCATCCTTGATGTTGTCGCGCAATCCTTTATAGAATTGTGCAGCCTTGGCATGATCATCCCAATCAAGCAATGCTGTAAAGCGTCTGAAGTCTGTAATATACGACCCAGCAGAACCTTTCTGTCTAAGACTGAATAGGTTACGCTCTGCAGTAGCCTTCTCATTGGGATCACCAAACACACTCTTAAGTTCTTCACAGAACTTATTGAAGTTGTCCATCCATTCAGGACGATCATTACCTTCTTTGAGTGCATAAGGCTGATACCACAAGAATGCAGTATCACGAAGGAATGTAGCTGCGTACCCCACTTTGAGGGTATCATTAGGGAAACGAGATGGCTGAAGGTTTACAACCATAGTCACTTGGGTGATGAAGGTTGTGACCCTAGAGCGTAGACCAGTGAAGTACTCAGGTGCTGCTACCTTTGGTTCAAGTACCTTAGGTTCTTGGCGCACAGGAGTAACTTCACGAGGAGGAGTAGGTGGAGGAGGAGTAGATAGAGCTGCAAGTCTATCATTGGCATTATTGAGAGACTCACGAAGTGTTATGTTATCTTCCATCATAGTTCGAATCTGCTCCTCCAAAGCTTCAATACGTTCACCTTGTGTAGGCATTATGTATTACTTGTTGTAGATGTATATTGAAGTTGTTGATGTATATTTCAGATGAAGTGATGATGATAAATGATATAGGTAAAGTAAAGGAGTAAGGGCGCACTACTAGGAATAGAGTAATCCACTCTAAGCAGTGGGTCGATGAATTCTACTGTTACAACCTGAGAGCTAGGCAGTGACCTAACCTAACTTCAGTGGACGACAGCGATGAGATACGAAGTGATAGCGTAGAGTGGATTGGACGATGATGAAGAACACCTCAGTGTAGACGCGTTATGGCGTAAGTCACTTAAGCAATTGGGATTGGTGGAGTGGGTGGCAAAGTTTGTGAGAGTAACTTATGAGAATTCATCGACGAGGAAAGAGCCCTCGTGAAGGGGGTTTATATAGACAGCACTTTCTACACGGTATCACCTTGAGTAAGACTATTCTGACCAATCACATAAATGCCTCAGCCAACCCGTGAGTCACGGAGTAAACCGTAATGCACGGTTTAACCGTGTTATACGGAGTGGACCGTGCTGTACGGAGTAAACCGTGCTGTACGGAGTAAACCGTGCTGTACGGAGTAAACCGTGCTGTACGGAGTAAACCGTGCCATACGGATAGGATGTTCCTGAGGTTATGATACAGGCAGTGTCATAACACGTTCTCCGTTGAACAAAGTCCTCCCCAGCCCGAAATGGATCTTACCTCCGAAAAGGTGCCCACAATGTCCCCTGTTGGTCCTGTTCCTTCTCCTGCCGTATCTGTTCGACAACAGGCCGTTCCCTCTGCTCTTGACCCATTTATAGCACAAACACAGACGGTTTTGGGTGTTACATTGCAAGAATCACCAACAATCCCTTCGCCTCACAAAGCTAAAAGTGTCACACCGGCCCCCTTCCCCAGCCCCTCCCCTGCTCCGAAAGCAGGCCCTCCTCCAAACCTTCAACCTGGGTCTTCTTCTCTCCTCTCTGGCCCTCCCCAAATCTCCCCACTACCTACCTCACTACATACGTTTGCAGAGGTAAAGCAGTGGCTACAGCAGAAGCGCCTGGGTCGATCAGGTGTGCAGAGTCTTCCTGGTCCGAACCCATCAACCAATGTTCCGAAACCCATGATGGCTCCGAAACCCATAGTTCCTCCAATATTTGCTTCCCAATCGGCTCCCCCTCAGACTCCACCTCCCACTTCTCTCATTCGTTCTCATTCAGAATTCGTTGGCTCTGGTCCCACAGCTTTGCCAGGTCAGATACCCTCCATTCCTGTCACTTCGGTCAATGTGGTCAGTAAACTCCCTCAAATGAACCCACCACTCCAGCCCGAATTTCGGACCGAAAGGCCCACTGTCCCTTCTTTGGACCAGCCTGCACCCGAAAAGGTTGTCCCTTACATCCCGGCTCCACCGTCTACCATGCCCGAAGTTGAACAGTGTCTGCATCGTATGAATGAGTTTCAAGAGACTCAGGCTCAGTTTGAGGAGCAATTCTCTTCCCGAATGGTTGCTCAAGTTTCTGAAATGATAGACTATTACCGAGAAATCAACCGAGGACGGCATCAAGCCTACTCCGAAAGTGTCACACAATCACTTTCGGGTGTGAGAGCTATCAATGGGACATGGAGCGAATTCAAAGCGCGGTATGACTCGGTGGTTTCTGAAAGAGATGTGGCTCAAGGAGAGGTAAAGACACTGGACCGGCTGTACAAAGAGCAGATTGATAAGAATGAGGAAAGAGATCATGCTGTTGCCCGAGTCACCGCCGAAAAAGACGCCGAAATTGCTTCAATCCGAAAGCAGTTGGAGGAGACACAGGAAGGGCTCAAGACTATGAGCCAGAGGTTCGCTAGTGCAATGGGGGATAAGGAAAAGGAGGCTCAGGCTCGTCAGTCTGCTGAACAGCGGTGTTCAGATCTGGCCAGACAGATGAATGAGGAGGAAAACGCCGAATTGGAAACTCTCCGAGCTCGGCTTTCGGAGGCTGAAGCAGCTAAGGGGGTAATGCAACAGCAAATCGACGAGGCATTGCAGTTTGTGCAAATTACCGCTGCCCTGCAAAATGAGACTGAGATGGAGAATGTAGGGTTGAAGGAACTCAAAGAGCAGTTGGAAGGAGCAAATGAGCAGTTACGGGCGGACCTTCAAGCGGATCAAGAGGATATCGAATCGGCCAACTACACCATCAGGCAACTTGAGTCAGAACTCCAAGAGGCCAAACAAGAAAAGTCTCGGCAACAATTCCGCTTTGACCTTAGGACCTCCCCTGCGAAGCCAAACGAGTACTCTGACCGAAGAAGAGCTCACAGTCTTGATCTCCCTTCCACCAAGATCACCGCTCGAAACTCCGAAAGTACCGCACCGAATTCCGAAAATGACCCTTCAAACTCCGAAAATGTACTTTCTTCAGGACCAACACGTCATGTTGCCATTCCCACAATCCCCACAAATGCAGACCTCCATTCTTCTCAAGATTAAATGTAGCCTAACAAATCCGTGTCACAGTTCCCTTGTATGTACTGTCAGTTGTTCATTTTGGCGAGTTTCCGTTTCGGTGTTTTCATTTCATGTTTCGGTCTTTCTGTGTTTGGGGTCCAAATGTCTCATCTGTGTGTGAACTAGCCTGAGTAATGCATTCCATGTCTGAACTCTTCCAGCCTGGCTCATGTTGCATACATCCCTGCAAGAGATACTTCACTGTTTCTTGTGTCAGTGAGCGAGAGATCCTTGTAGTAGGATTAATTGTCCCCAAAATTCGGACCGACTTCGGACAGCCTTGACCAATTTCGGACAGTCATGGCTGCATATATCACTGCAAGAGAGCTTATGACTATTGAAATAAGCACTGGGTAGACATAATCACTAGTGACCTTAAGCAGTACAATATTCGAATACATGAGATGGTCAGATGTGCTTGAAGCAGAGGAATGGCTTATTGCTTCGGCACCTTATGCCCATTATCTGAGGAACACAGTTAAGAGGCCACCACTGTCCCACATGGATTTCGCTTCTTCGCCCATGTGTACGGGATGAGACTAGACACCTGAAAGTATGTCTTTGCAGGCAATAGACCCCCTTGGATGTGCTTGACATCTTAGGAAGTTTGATCCCTTCCAAGAGTTCTGTCCATATTTGAGGCTTCAATCCAGGGAGTCACCAACCCCCCCTCTGAATTTCGCTAGATTGCCCACTACTTTGGTTTTAAAGAGACATGTCTACAGAGCACTTTCATATGTGTGAATACCTGTTTCATGTGGCTATGGCTTCATAGTTGGTTGACCGACTTCGCAGATTAGTGTATGAGCTGCAGAATTTGGTTATGAGACAAGGTATGCTCAACTTCATTGGGCAAGTCTATAAACCTGGCATATTGTGTGTCCAGGAGGACTGCACCTGCTAGGAAACAATGGAGGAATTCGACCGATGCACAAGGGTAGCTAGCATAGGTGCATGTTTTGGGCATTTTGCAACAAGATTCGGAGGGGTTTTCGGTGTTTCGGGAGTGCCTTTGGACTCACTTGGGAAAGATAATCAAGCCCCAATCTGCATCAAACCAAGTGTATTTTTACATCCAGAGGTATGTTAGTCATTATATTCATGCACAACCAGCTGTGATACCTCTCTACAGGCGATCTATGTAGTAAGTCATGGAAGGTACACACTTGTCCATCAATTTTTTCACTTTCGGACTGAATATAGACTCATTTGCTGGATCCCGTGCAGCCATTGCAAGCACCAGTTGAAGCACACTTGTTCGTAGTTTTCTACTCTCACCTCTAGCCAGAGTTGATGATTTCACCCCAAGCACAGAAGCAGTCGGTCTGATTCCCTGGAGAAGAAGACATGCAGCGGCACATGCTAGAGGACCACAGCTGTGTGAGTCCACTTGTGTAACCCAGTCCAGGTTATCCCTGGTAGCCTGGACGTCATCATTGAGCTTGGGAGTAGCACTGTACTCACCTGAGAATTTGGAGCAATCAACCAACCCATAGCTTCAGCCTCTGTTGCTATGCCTTTTCTGACTTCCCAGGACAAACAGCGTTCTAGCAGGCGTGACCATTGCTATTGATCAGTGACGCTGCACCTCATCGAAGTAATTTTGAATGACCAACTTACCTTCTTCTGTTCGGCCGAATCATACGTCCCCCCTGCCCCATCATACATCAACACCAGCTTCTGTGGCCCAAAGATTACCAGTGTCTCAAAATGGGACCTCGACATCAGAACCCCAACTGTGTTCTCTTTCCTCCATTGCCCGTCCTTGCCGAGAGAAGGCCATGGCGTACTTCCAGGTATGTATGGGTTCCAGCTGTCACCAGCAGCTAGGGTTCGGTAAACAAATGAGTTTGGTATGGGGTCAGACATTCCAATCCCCAGATTCACACAATTTCGGATGAAAGCTGACACCGAAAGCAAGATATCATCGATTCCGAAATTGGTGTACCACTCATTCCTTCCGTAGAACTTACGCAACGTTTTTGACCCAAATGTGGAGTCTACACCCTGCAGCTTCAAGCCCTTATGCTCATCTTCGGCCATGTCATGAAACGTAGCTTCCATCTGGTCGCACAGGTCCTCAAGGAGATCGTCCGAAAGGCTATCAACATCTTGAAATGTGCTGACGGAGATGAGAGGTTGAAAGGATTCTCCCGAACGCCACTGAACTTGTGCTAGTCTTTCGGCAATGACTGACTGAGCCTTTTCTAGTTGACAGTACTGGGGAACCTCGGGTGAGGGAGAGCGTTCAACAGTGGGAAAGACACTTGGAGGATCAATGTCCATGGATGATGATGGGGAATCTGGTTCTGCTGTAATGTCTTGAGAAGCTACAGTGGGATTGAGACTGATAGCTTGATCGCGGGGAGCCGATTCACCCTGGGGTGTGTTGGTTTGGCACAGGATGTTGCTCGAGGAAGGCCCGCTTTCGGGAGGTTCATCACCAGGTGGAGAAATATGTGTAGGCTTCAGAGGGATGGTACCCTGAGAAACTGTGGGAAGAACATTGGGCTGAGAAGCGGTGGGGTCTGTAGGGGTACTGGTGGGCGCCAAGCTTGTGGACTGGACATCAACTGGGGCAGGTTCTTGTTCCGTTGGGTTTGGAGGAGGAACTTTCGGATCTCCCGAATTCGGAGGTTCAAGCGTTGGCGGGGCCGAAGTTGGCAGCTCCGAATTTGAAGAATTAGCTGGTATGGCGTCCGAAACGGGAGGTTGGGGGTTTGGTGCTTCCAGTGTTGGGCCTTCAGCTTTTGGTATTTCAGGATTCGAAGCCGATTTTGACATTGCTTTCCCACTTGGCTTATTCAGTCGTCTCCTTTTGGCAATGGGTTGACTTGCTGATGGCTTGACTTCATCTTCCAGTGTATAGAACAGCAAGACCGGGAATCGTGTACCACCGAAAGCGTCCCGGTTCAGAAACATACGAGAGGTTTTTTCGTCGTCAATCTCCCACAGCACATCATCATGCTTTATCAAAGCCACATAGTGTCCACTGGTCACCTGCACGGTGTCCCCCTTTTGGCAGAGCATTCCCTTCAATCTGTACATTGGAAGATTGCTCGGGAGTATAGGAGGAGGTACGGCCGAAACCTGAGCTGGGTTGATAGTTTCGGGAATGTCAAAAGGGTGGATCACTTGGTGTGCAGAGGGGTTTCGGAGATCCCAGACAATGTTGAGGAGTAACATGCGGGGCAGGTTGTTGGATTCCAAGGACATCTTGGCTCGTGCTCGAGTGACGGCCATTCGTCCATCACATGGTACCGAAAAGCAATGTTGGGGACTGCATGAACGCCACAATGAAAGGTTCATGAGCTGGATGAGGTTAAGTGATGAGCCATGTGGATAGATTTGGAGAACGGCCATCTGCTTCTCCAGTGAGGATGTCTCTTGCCTGACAGGGACTGCGTGGGAACAGGGCTGAAAGACATATTCCCAGGTTACTCCGAATTCGAATGTGTTCCGAATCGGGTTCTGTTCAATGATCTGATTGAATTTGCTTGTCATTCTGAGAAACAGTTCACACGGATCATGCTGAGATTCTTCATCTATCAAGTTCTCACCTGCATATCAGCAAATGAACATGCTGATTGGCAGCAATGATGGAGGAAGGGAACTCACTTCGGAGGATCGGTACAATGTCCTTCAGATCCACCAGCCGTCTAGTTACCGAAATGGCTTTAAGAAAGTCACCTAGTAACACAATCAAAGAAGGTGCGTGAGGCCTGAGAGCGTCATTAGCATCGTTGAATGCGGACACGAAGGCTGGGATTCGGAAGACAATATGGAACAACGACAGAGCAAAACAGGATTGAAGATAATTCTTTGCTCCAACAGGTCGATCTCGTGGTGGTAGTGCGTCCCGAGGAATGCCAGCTTTTGTGGGGGCTGTCTTTTGGCGATAAGGATGCAGAGGGCGGTGAGCTGCTGGACGGCCACCCTTATCAGCCTCTGGTCTTGAAACCGGTAACGTAGCAGTGGTTGAGGGATGGTCGCCAGCATGGTTGAGGAATCGGTTTCGGCGGGTAATGGGCGAATCGGGCTCGACAAAATCAAGGTTGGCACTATCAATGCTGATGAGCTTGCCCTGTTTCGGAGGCTGCTCGGAGGACCAATCATGCCACACAGGCTCCGAAGGGTCATGTCCCCAATAGGCAACAAGGTCTTCTTGATCCAATGGATAAGATATCTCTCCTAACCGTCGTTGTAGCTGTATAGCTCGAGTCTGCAGTCGCAGTTCGTTTGCCGTGACACCATTTGAATACTTTTCGGAGGAGCCACAAGTGTGAAAGCAGTACAATGCCCAGAGACCCGAGCACCTTTTGCCTGTTTCGGTAAAGTATCTGCAGGAGCATCGTTCACGAGTTTTGTCTTTGATCCCACAGTAATGTGAGTCAGGTGTTGTTTTGCTCGATTCGGATGATGTCACACAATATGTATGATCTAGTTGACCTCGCAATGACATAGGCATCTCGTCTCCGAAACATTCCCTAACCGCCCCTTGCTCCCAAAGCTCCAGTCCTTGAAGTATGTGTGACAGAACCGTGGGGTCACAGCGGGCAGATGTTGGTGGTGAATGGAGGTACATGGGAAAGTAAACGTCGATGATGATTGTGAGGAGTTTGTCTATACGTTTGTTGGCTCGAGATTCAAGGAATACTCTGTCAAAGGTCCGAAATGCCGCTTCAACAAAGTTGTTTGTTGAGAGAGTACCATCTCGGGTGTGACGAGGTGGCAGACCATAGTCGACAAGGTATCCCCTCCATCTGTCGCTGAACCATTCAGACAGGAGCCAGGTTCTGATTTTGTCCCAAATTTCGGGATCGTTATTGCTGATTGCCGCAACATCGGCTTCTAGTCGAGCAAAAGCTTCTGACCAAGACTCCTCTTCGGAACATCGTTGGCACCTCCGAAGTGCCACGAGGAAGGCAAAGGCTTTTTCGGTACCCACCAGATCACTCCCAAATAGCCGAAGTGCTCGAGATCGGGCGGCGTGCATGAAATGAAATTGGCATAACCGAATTGGAGTTCCCGGGAAGACCTCCTCAATGGCCTTTCGTTCAGCGTCATCACAATCAATCATGAAATGTAGTGGAAGGAAATCCTCCTCGTGAATGTATTCGGCGTTGATGAGGATTTGCTCTTCATTCTCATATTCGGAGACCACTGATGATTTGCCCTTGAGTAATGCTTTCGCTTCTTTCTTGATAGCCTTTCGGATAACGCTCAAGAATTCGGTGTAGGAATCGGTGTTCGCGTGATTCGAGACCATGACAGCTACTGGAGCATTGTCAGCTCCGAAACAACCCGAAACCCTTCAAACCACAGGACTCACCAGGGACCATATGACCATATTCATTTACTGTGGCTAGCAAGGTGACGGGACAGCGTATTGCATTCTTATTTCTCCAAGACGAATCAAGAAAGAGGCCCCGATCTGTGGCATGCCGAATTGCTGATTGCAATTCATGTTTCGGACTGATGATTGCAATGAACGAAGAGTCCGCTGGGAATGGCTGAGTGCCACCGAGTGCCAGGCCTTCAGGATATTCACAACTGACAGTCAGCTCATGAGGACAAGGAAACGCTGGCTACATACTGCAGGAAAGAGCTTGGATTGGCCTCATGTAAGATACTTATTGCCGCCAGTGGTAGCCGATCCAGCCTTTCCTGCCGCAGAGCCGTTCGGATGGCAGTTTGGAAGTCAGTGGTGGTAGGAAGACGCTCGGGATAATTTGCCTTGACCCATAGGACATAGGGGTGAATCTTGCAGAAGGAATTGTACCACCGAAGCCGAAGACGTGAATCAGTCGTTCCCACCAGAGTTGCAGCATCGTGTAGTAGGTTTCGGAGATGTGGCGAACTCCGAAGTAATGTCAACGGGTTCGGTTGACCGTGATATGCAGCTTTCGGGCGGACCAGACAACAGACCCCTTTTCGGATATTGCTGGGAGTCATTTGTATCTGAGAACATCAGCTTAGTGAAGATGAATCATCCTTAGGTGACCCACCTCAAGAAAAAGATCACACTTTAAACGTGCTCTTGAGGAATATCGTGCGCTGGCAGCAGTTGGAGGGTGAGCTTCGGCTGTTGTTTGTGTTTCATCCTTTGCTTTAGGCTCAACATGGTGGTGGACACTGTCCAAAGTTGGCTGGATCTGGGTACAGTTGCCACTGCATCGGAAGATCGACCGAAACACTGTCCGATTCGGGTATGACGCGACAGCACTGTCGGAGACAAAGAAGAGGCCATGTCTTCCCCTGATGTCGGCGGGTAATAAACCAGGGGGATCCAACCATTCCACTTGCACACATTTGGATATATGCTGGGTCTCAATGAGGTAGTCCTGACGCTGATATATCAACGGTTGTAAATCTCCGAAACAGAACACTGACCAAAGAGTCAAACGCTTTCGGAATATGATGAAAAGCCACCTCGAATTGTTCATAGCGATCATCATCCACCAGGTCAGGATTCGGTAAACGACAGAAGGTTTCCAAAGCACGTATGTTGACCCCAAGACTAGCGTCCGTGCGAGGAGCTTTGAGTTCCAAGAGTGGAGCCTCAGGACGTGGTACGGAGTATGATTCGGAAGAGATATTGACAATTCGGAAGCGCCCGGCCGCCTCTTGCCTGGCAGTCATGATCTCATCTTCCACCGAGATAGGATTCAGAGGTTGAGAGGGAGACCATTTCGGAACAGCAGGAGACAATGAAGCTGAGGGGGAGGCCATGACAAGCTCTGTCCAGGGTGCCGAGTCGGGTGTCACAATACCAATACCGTTGGAGGATACAGGAGTATTTCCTGAGGCAACTCTCCTGTCAGTTGATACATAAGGGGGGTCCGAAAGTACCCACTGGGATCAGCCGTGGACAGAGGCATCTTGTGATTGGAAGATTGGGGGAGAACACTCTGTGGGCTTAGCTGCGAGGGTCCGGGAAACTGCTCTGAATTATTTACTGAGCATAAGCTTCAATAAACCAAAAGGAAAAGGGTCTGTCTTACAGGGCACCGAAACCGAAACTGACTGGATTTCCGAAGCTGCCTTGTAGATAGAAGAAGACTCAGTGCGTTGGGAAGGACCGGCTACATAGTCAGTAAGGAGTAATACAAGTTTCGGGGAAGAAACTGACATGTTGATGGTGTTTGTGCACTAGGAGCATAAACTTTCGGAGGTCGACCACGAAAAGGCGACTTTCTCTTTAAAGCGTTCAGAATGAGTTGATCAGCTTGATTATTCTGAGACATAAAGCTTGTAATATTGGGTGAGTAAGTCACTGTTGTGTTTAGATTGAGAGAGAGAGAAGAAATAAATGATTGTGCCCCAACACCGCCAAACAGTGCCTAGGGTTGAAGGAGACATCCTTTCGGGGGCGTTTCCGAATTTGAACTCCAAATGGCTATAGAGAACCAAGGACTCCGAATTTGGAGGTTCTGCCTGCATGAATGGCTTCAGAATACGTGTGGCAACACATAGATATGCAGGAAGCCACGGTAGGATGCATATTCGATACAGGGGGGATTTGGGGACATTCCGTAGGTATTTGGGTCAGTAGTGGAGGGATCCTCGGGTTGAGTGACGTATTTTGGGAGAAAGTGGCAAAATTTCGTCGGGATTAATTCGAGTTCCGTCGGGATTATCCCTACGCGCAGGAAAGTGGTACTTTTCGGCTTTCGGCACAAGGGCCAGCAACCAGCGAGTTGATTGTGTCCATGTCCAACCCTATATGCTCAGTGAAATGTATGTCAGTACAGTAAGTACCCACTTACCAAGTTGCTAAAGTGGGGCTTGGTGATCAAACTCTGGAAGTCGGCAGGTACCACCAAGGTACCCCACCCCGTCCACCAGCCCGCGAGAATCGTACCGACCGGATCAAATGGCTCTATGCTTAGCTTCTTTCAATATCACGTAGGCTTGAGCTGTTGACTTACCCTCAAACATGAAACTAGGGTGGGAAAGATCTATCAGATCACCTCCAAACATGCACAGCTTTTCCCGAAGGGTCAAGATCGAGATCCGACGGATGAAAGGTGCGAAACGAGATGGTAGTCTCGTTGGAAACTCCGTAACCCTGCTTCTTTCCTTTCCCAAGCATAAATAAGAGAGTTTGATCAGTTTTGAAACTCTCTGATTGATCAACCACAACCTACCTCTGCAATTGACCAAGTCACCTAGCAAGCTCAATTGATAAGAACATCACCTCACTACTTCTATACACTATGAAGGAATATGAGACTTTGTTTTCACTCTCACCATCGACCAAATTCAGGTATTGTGTAATCTCAGTTGTTTCGCAAAATGGAAAGTACCCAATAGCTGCCAGATTCAATACTGATTGTAAAGACTCCAAAGAACTAGCAAAGAACAAGCGCTTCTTGAACTTCACTGGTCATTTGTATGAAGCTAACGCCCTATCGTACCCGGTCACCCTGGAGGGAGCATGTAGAGCAGTTCAGAATGCGGTAACATTTGCACAACGGGCCACATTGACCAACTCAAAGTACTATGTGACGATCATAAGCGATATAGATAATGACAGAAACATTGACTTTACTAGATCCACGCATGTCTTAGAGTTATGCTTGGGTCATTTTGAACGGAAAGAGATGAAAAGCACAACTCCCAGCTCCTCAAGCACGGAGGAGGAAACAGGAGACACACTGGTCAAGGGGTCCTCTATCCCCCATTACCCCAGGATACCGAAGGGCCAACAAACGGGTAGATGCACCACCGAGCGCTTTGAGCATTGGAGATTTCCTCAAACCCACTCTGCAAGGTGTGAGACCGATAGCGTAAATAGTTCTGAAAAGACAAAAGCGTCATCTGGGAGCCACACTGAAGTAAGAACCAAATCAAAGCTTCCCAAAACTGTTGTGTTGCAACAGAAAGCCACAACGGCTCTAGGCTCTCGGAGAAAAGAATTGCTACTGACTAGTGCATAGACCATCTTTGTAGTTTAGACAGAGAAAGATACATTCCTCAAAGGAAGTAGCTAATAACTAAACGAGTTGAATGATGTATTTGTTGACTACGCCCATGAACTCGTTCATCATAACCCTGTGATCTTGGATCTCCTGACACTAGGCGTGGAAGTCATGTTTGTGACACCTATCTCTTCAGTGATTCGTGAAACGTATATCAGTAAGAGTAGTAGTACTCATTGACAGAAGTAGTGCTATCTTTGAAACACGTAGCCGAGTCTTGGAATCTATCGTGCCTTATACTCGGTGTTTCGGCAGGTACTGTACCACCAAGGCACCCACCTGTCCATCAATTCCACCCATCCTTGTCGTGAGGGCATCATTGTCCGTGCGATCATCGTGAAGTAGTCGTCAAGTGGAGAGGGCATTCTTGGGGACCGACCCGGCCGGATCAAAAGTGCTGGGCGGGTTTGAGATCCGCGCTACTCACAACCTCCTTTCAATATCAAGCTTTGACTGACCTTCGAAACTAGTATGGCTTCTTTTTATTGACTTTGATCGAGGTCCGGCCGATGAAGGGTGTGAAACGGGGCGATGATTTCGACCGAAACCCCTGGACTTCGAGCTTACCCTTCCTCCAGGATATATAGGGATTGTTGAACTTGTTTTGCCACTCAACTCAATCCAGATTCAAGATTCTCCTCAATCAACTCACTTCAAAGTTTCAATTTAAAAACACAACCGCACTGATAGTCTTCACTCTTCACTACGCTATAGTATGGAAATTTTTGGCTCTTTACTTGCACCCAACTACTCTCCTACTTTCAAGATATGTGTCATCTCTGTGACACCCCAAGATGGCACATATGATATCAGAAATTGGTATGGAGGCTTAGGGGAGGATGCCTCAGCAAGGAAAAACGAGTTTACAATTGCCTTCCACTCCTCCCTAAACACCCATGTGGAACAGAACCAGACCCTGTCGTGGATATGTGAGGGAATTGTAAGAGCTGCAAAAGAGGCACAAAGCAAATCGGCAAACAATTCCGAGCTGTACGTGAGTGTGGTAAAAAATGAGGATGGTATCATTAGGGGAATGGATGAGAATCTCTTGAACCAGATCTTTTCACCACTTGGCAGCCATTGGGCAGCGAATCACTCAAGAAGGACAGCCTCGATGGATCTGGCCTTAATTGATGGGCATACAGTGCAGATCACAGAAGGGGCTACTTGTTACGGGGTAACAACAAATCGAGAGAACTCTATCGAGTTCGACGGATTAGGATAGAGGAAAGCGGGAGTTGGAGGCAGTGCTGCAGTAGGTAGGGACGGGTTTTCCCCTTTCGAGATTTTCCCACTGGGTTTGCTCAAAGCGGTTTTTCACCTGTCCGAGTATGTACATAGACGCTTGCAGTAGGACTAAGAAGAGGAGACGGATACCTGTAGACAGTATATAGTACAATCAGCAAAGTACCAACTTTGCTGATTCTTCAATATCATTCTTTGGCTACATCGATTGCAGAGGAGACACGATCCATTAGCACCAGAGCCCCTAGATTTCCACGAGACATCCATCGAGTTCGACCCAACCTGCGACCTAGTCATCGTGTTTCCAGTACCGTTACACCACTCTGACGGTTGCAATGTTTTCCTCTGGCCAAAGAGGTGCCTCAGCTGAAAAGTCACGATGCACAAACTCATACTCCGGCTCATCTGAGAGGATGCATTCAGAGGCACAAACATTATACCGCAGAACTTAGGACGTACAGTATACTCATGAGTGTTACAGGGTAACAACAAATTGAGGGAACTCCATCAAACTCGACGGATTAGGAAAGAGAAGGGTGGGATTTGGAGGCAGTGCTGCAATTAGGTAGGGACGGATTTCCCCTTTTGAGATTTCCCCACTGGGTTTGCTCAAAGCGATTTTTCACCTGTCCGAGTATGTACTTAGACACTTGCAGCAGGGAAGGGGGGAGACACCGATACCTGTAGACAGTATAAAGTACAATCAGCAAAGTCCCAACTTTGCTGAGTCTTCAATATCATTCTTTGGCTACATCAATTGCAGAGGAGACACAATCCATCACATAATGTCACGGCCGTCAAATAACTTCTTTCTAACTGACTGTCACCGCCGTCAAATAACTTCTTTCTGACGGACCGACGGTCGACGAACCTCGGCTAACTGTCACGAACTATGTTGTGACACCTCAATTATTCCACCAGCAATGACCCTCCATTGACCATCAAAACCCCTATCACGTCTTAACCTCTTCACCCTACACGTAACTTAGGACATCTGAGACCAAGTACGGCAAAGTTAGACGGAGTTAGGTGAACTAGGGACAATGGGAGCAGAAGTACGGCAAAGTCAGACCGAGGTAGGTGAACTAGGGACAATGGGAGCAGAAGTGCGGCAAAGTTAGACGGAGTTAGGTGAACTAGGGACAATGGGAACAGAAGTGTGGTGATGTTAGGCGGAGTCAGTCAAAGGGAGGAGAAGGACGGCCACGGACTCGGGGAAGTTGGATGAAGTGTGTTGAAGTACATCTAAGCGCGAGAGGGTTGGGTGAACATCTAGGAGGAGTAGAAAATATCAGCTGAGAAGATCACTGAAGTTCTTCAGCAATCCTCGATTGTTGTCAGTAGTGAAAGATCGATAGTGATAGCTACATTCAAATCGAGATACATTGCCATCAGTAAAACAAAACTCTAGTTAGAGTAACTACATCAAAGTACGCCGTAGCTACGCACCATAATACGACCAACTCCTCCTGACGGGGCCCTGCACCGATGCCTTCATCTCGATTTAAGCTTGAGCTGTCTACTCACTCCCCAACATAAAAATATGTGGCTGAAAGCCTCCTCTTTATCTACTCTTGAAAATGCATACCTTTTTGCCCAAAAGTGTTATTATTACGATCCGGACAGAGAAGATGGTTGCAACCTTCAAATTCGAAAACTCATTTGGACCGTCCGATACACATGCATCTCTTCCTTACCGACCCCGACAAAGATAACCGACTGATGATACAAAGACTTCTGATAAGCGAAACCCCACGGCCCTGGTTGTTAAGAAGGTCCGCCAGCCGGGCTCCC